ACCGGATTCTTAGAAGTGAATTGAGGATTATTTGTGTGCGGTGTTTGAAAAAGCAATTTATGTTGAGCCAATATTTTGTTAGCATTATATATACAAATCTAAAATAACGTGCGTGGTTTAATGTAACACATTTATTAAGCAAGAAAACAAAGTGGCAGAGTGAAAATGTGGTTTGGGTGTTTGACCGAAGGGTATAAGTTCAAATGTGAATCTGGGATCATCTTAGCCTATCAACGTCAGTGGTAGATAAAATTAGTACCATCATTGATTTACTCTATATACTGTGGGCCGAAACAATGATTATTCTATGCAGAAATTGGCCAATGCCATAGGAATGTCACATTTCTAAGACTGGTTAAAAGCCATCATTTGAGCAGGGAGACACTTTGACATGGTTATGTACTCAACAATAACACTAAGAGCCAGGAATGTAATACTGATGGGCACATTCTTAACTGCATTACGTTATAAGTTAGAGGCAGACCCAATTTTGGCATTCGCGTTCAGGATGTACACGTGTGATTAGTTCTGAGCTAATATTAAGGGTGAACAAACTTAAAGTCAGTTGTTTTTAAATAAAATAAAACAAAAATTGCATATGCACCGGTGAAACCCATGTTTATATCATTTCATTGCTGCGGGTTGGGAGCGAAGTTCGATACTCGTTTATGGATGTATCACAAGTTGGCAATTTTTGGCTTAAGGATAACAAATGAAAGAACATTTTGGCACCCGTACGTTTGAGGTACGATCAGTGTTATTCTTAAGTTGTCGTAAGACATTACGCCCCTTTGCCATGCGGTTCCCGTGGAAAGAACCGAGCCGGAACCCACCACAGCACGGGCTCAGATCAAAGCACGCGGGTTCAATGGTTTGTTTGTTCGTGCATTCATAGGCCAAGGCCCAAGCGTTCAAAGGTAACTCGCGACCGCTCTTAAGAGGGGAGAGAAAGGTGACGATGAAGGATCCAGCAGCGCCAATGTCGTCGCCAGTCCTGCATTGCCACATCAGCCCAATCGTGAGCGCAACTATTGTCCAATGAGCACAGCGGCTGTTCAATCCAGCACCTCGCCAAACAGGTCTGCTTGCTTTCGTGCTCTTATGGACACAACGATGTGCCAGCCCAGCCGAGACAATGGAACGAGCAGGTTTTTTAAATCGCGTATTCCATTTTTTTATATTCTACTGCCCGCAGTAGAAAATTCAGTCTTGTTACAATTTGTTGTTGTTGTTGTTGCTGCAATATCTTTTAATCTCTGAACAACCACTTTGATCTTAAATTGAGGCTTTTTTTTGTTTCGATAACCTTACACTGAACCTTCTGAACCGATATGACTCTTGTTATTATACAATGAATGAACAAGGCGACCTGACCTTGTGATTAAAATGTGGGTACAATTTATGTGTCCCAGCGTTACGATTAAGCCTATGTTTATCACACGCAAAACCTTGGCTGCATTTGCAGGTGTAAAGTTAGCTAACGTGGAATGGGCACACCAGTATATTGAAATAAAAAAGTTTTATAATAATTTACTGAGCCTTTGTCAATCGACTGCTTGATGAAGGGTCTCATGGAGGTTGTTTTGACCATACTTCACCACGCTGCTCAGCGCAGGCTGGTAAAGGGGGAGATGTATTCATGTTTTGAGCTTCTTTCGCACCGTACGTAGCCAACCACGCCAATGGGAGGTGTGCGAAACAGGAGGCACGCCACCTGTTTTCTCAAATCACTCGCCACTTACTTTAGCCCTGGCCGGGAATTGAACTCAGAATGATGCCAGGTTCATGGCGCTGCAGTGGGCAGAGCACTGCTGCCACTCCTCCAGCCCCCCCCCCCCCCCACCTTTCCACAAAAAGCAAAATAAATGTTGTTTTGAGAGCAGCAGAACCCATGTCCACGTTTGCATTGGCCATGCGTGGGGCGAAATAAGCGCGGTGTGGCTCTGCTTTGGGGATGTTTGACCTTCGGTGTCGTTGAGGTCGCGGCTTTGTCCTTCTCACTGTCAACGACCAAATATTCAACTGGGCAGTGTATAATATATCCTTCATTAAATTGAATACACTAACGCGTACGGGCGCTTCGTTACATCAGTTAAATCGACAGCGCAATATACTTCTATTTACAAAGCGACACGAGTTAACATATTTTACACGTACAGTACTGACAACGCTTGTCAAACACACCGGAGAATTCAATCGATGCTGAGGAAGAATGGTACAAATTAGCCAGCGTAACGACCATTGGTCAATTGCTACGTCTCAACGTTTACTTACATACATGCAGGACCAGGTTTCTAGACGATACGAAGCATCTTTCATTTTACTTAGTGAAACACACACCATAGCACTCAAATCCAGTGACCTAAAGGAGCATTCCAGAAAAAAATGGAGCATTTGTTGAACAAGCAAACCCAGCACTGGTCAGGCTTCAGGGGTTTCAATAGCAGGCTGCGGACCATTCATGCAGTGCTCCCGAGTTTCTCGCTGTCCTTGGCAGAAGACATCCACAGAACCACCACCACTACCAAGTTCATCAGGGAATGGCGACGACAAAGTACAACATCTCTACCGCACCATCTTGGCGGATTGTGAGGATGATAAAACGCGTCGACTAGTAAACTGCACGTTCATTTTCACATTGACCAATATGCCTTTACTGTTCATCGTTTTGCCATCATTTACTCACAATCCGACGAGAACCGGTGCATCGTTATATCGTGCGTTCCCATTAAGTGCTTATCATGTCACACAGCGCTACCGTATGTCCGTGTCCTCAACAGAGACCTGGACACACCGTTCCCGTTCAAGCTGCGGGGTCGCACACTACAAGCAAGGGAACAGACATTGAGAATGGACATGAATGCCGCCACGTGGCCATTGGTGATAAATGATCGCGCCCATGACCACAGAGAAAGCCAATATTTCCCATCAAACATCGTCAGGGCAAGCGCTGCTCGGATGCACATGGGTCTCGCGAAAACACCGAGCCCAACTCGCCCCGAGATGTACTCGGGTGAGAATGCACAGTAAGTGCTTTTGCCATAACAAGTATCGTATTTACAATCTCAAAGCGTGGTCCTTTGCAATTACTTGTCAAGGTATGGTACCTGCTTCTGCCGAATACTTTAAAGAAATGAAATCGCATTCGTCTTGACCCCCACGCGTGTATATATCAGAATAACCGTACTCTAATCATCACGGACTGTGCTGAGGAGTTCTCTGTTTTGCAGCGATTGGCAGTTGTTAAGACGCGCAGAGATTTGTTTGTGCGCACGGTAATCGCTGCTCACGTACGCGAGTGAAAGTTTCTGTAGGTTCCAAATAAACTTCTTCAGAAAATTAGAGAGTAAAACAATTCCACGCCTGTGCTGGAAAACACAAAACTCCACTTAACCACGAAATGTTTCAAACTTTCCCAAACTGACCGAATTGAATGCGAAGTGTAATCTTGTTCTTTGCCTTGCTCAAGCAGAACCCCTTCGATCCCAATGGACACAGTCCCATTGAACAAGAAACGGCTGAAACATGAACTAAATTGTAATGGTTTTCATCCTCGGCATCAAATTAATTCTACTGCATTTTTACCGTCTAGTGTTAAACACTGGCAGAGCCAGAAGCAATACCTTTCGTCTCTTTATTCATACTTATGGCATCAGAGAAGTGTAAAATTATATATTTTTTATTAAAATATTTTAAGTAGTATTATTTCATATTTGAATTTATTGCAAATAGCAATTATTACATCAAATGTGACCGACTCAGCAATAAACTGTTTTATTTTGCTTTGTTTGAAATATATTGAGGACTAAAAATGTATTGGATACTTTTTACACATACCACTTTCAATTTTAATGCATTTCCAAACAAGTATCCAACCAATCTTAATGAAAGTAACTTCAATAAATGTACACTTGAAAGCTCAGCCGCTATATACAGCTGGCAAAATCATCTTGGCGGGCTGGAATGACCTCTTTCTATGGTCCTTTGTTCATTTTGTAATAAAATTATATAACATCATGCTGACACTTGGCTCCGTGTCGACTTCATTGTAGCTGTTAAAGGTCATGCAACAACTTTTACGTAAACATAGAACGATGACGACCATCTTGCATTATAGAAGACAACAATGTTCCTTGTAAGTGCCTTGACCCGAAGCAGTTCTTTTCTTTTCCAGTTTGAAGGTAAAAGGCTAATTTTACAACAGTTATTACTCCCATCACTTCTTCAGCTGTAGCAGTTCACTCCCAACGTATTGTGCATTATCATAACACAAGGGTGGGTGCAAGGGTTCTCAAGGTCTATGCTGCTGCCAGGGGGCCCACGTGGCTTCTCCCGTAGAATTCTATTTTTGAGGTGACAGCCAGCCTCGGGGAAATTCCCCAGCATTAAACGGTGGCATAAAACCCCCTATTCAGACCGGTAAACGCCGCAATTGAAATCTCCAGCCACTCGGGGCGGAATAATAACATTTGTCCCTGTGGAGTAAAGCGAACGGAAATATCGGCGCGAGTGTTTTTTTTTGACGTAACGAAAATCGCGGCGGAAGGGAAGCCGCTAGTTTTGGGCGCATGGCTCAGAATTGCGGGGACTCTCAGCGGCAGCCTTCGCAGCCGAAGCCAATGAGACTTCCGGAGAATGAATTGAGATGGGTTTCCTTCTACGGCGATCGTGTAGCGGTGAGGTAGTGCATCACCTTATGCGCGAGGAAAATCCAACTCCCTTTTGAATTATTGTTCTATTACTGTAATCAGATGATTGGCTTTACGGTTGATAAGGGCTCGTGAGTGTGGGAATGAGGAGGAGGAGGAGGGCAGCGTACAGAGACAGCCATTGGAGTGGCACCCAGAGGCTCAGCGGCCGAAGGGAAGATCCAAAGTCAGATGTTGGTGACGAGACGCTGGAGTTTCCGGCATCATCGGCTCAACAGCTGTGGATCTCCCAGGAGGACTTGGAAGCGTTGGCAAGGGGTGCTGACATCAGCGGCATCGAATACGATGACTCTCCGACCTTGAGTTTCGTAAATTCCACATTCTCCTTAGCTTGCAGCCTCGAAGTGAGCTGCTGCTTATGCGCAAATCGATTGCACGAGATAACTTGACGAGGAGGAGGAGGAGTTGAACGAGCGGCTGCACCTTTAATGGTTCTCTTCAGTAGTCGTCGTATTTCTTGAGGTCGGAGTAGAGAGTGTTGGCGAAGGTCTTCGTGGTGTGGATGTGCGAGTTGATGCACTTGGCGTTTTCCTTCGTTCATCAGGTAATTTTTGTTGAGAACCTTTGCAAAGAAAAAAGGTGATGGGTGAGGTGGATAAGAACAGGGAGGGTCATGGAAGAACTGTTGTAAAAATATCAAGACTGAAAACATTTGATAAAGAAGTCCATAAATACATTTAAAAGTCAAAGTGTTCCCCTGCTTAAACAGGCCATGCCCATCTCCATTGGTGGACCTGAGCCAATGTTAATAAAATGACAAAAATCCACATTCTCATGTCTGGGACCAGTAATTCTATAGCATGGGCACTGTTTACTTCCCATACAGTGGTGCTTGTTTTATTGATCGAAGAAACTAACTGGAATGTGAAATTGTAAGCTTCCAAAAGCAAAAATTATAGTGCTAACTAGTCATTTATATATATATGCAGTATATAAGTTCATTAAAGCAGAGTTAATGATATCATGTACACAAAATAAAGACAAACATTCACATATAGTCTGTATAGATTAATGGGGGTAAGCGTTGTTACTAAGCACAAGGTGTGTGGACAAGAATCATACCCGACCACCTTTGTCTCCCCAGTGGCAATATTTACACAGGCTGAGTCGACCTAGGAGAGGCCCAGGACTGGTTCAAATAATCGTCACCGGTGTTGGTGGCTGTGAGCAGGAATCGAACTCAGGTCACCAGGTTCACCACGCAACGCACTAACTATCCACTTCTTCACCGCTCCCCACAACGCATGCCTCCCACACACGACAACCACCGCCATTCACCAGGCTATGTGCATTTTGAGGCCACGTGAAGTGTCGAACGCCCGCTGGCAGGGGGTCACGGTACAGACCCAGGTGCCCCGGGTTAACCGACCGAGATGACTGGCCGACGCACCACACGCGCGAGCACAAACACTCACACAGACAGAGGCACGCAACAACACTTCTCTCTGTGCCACACCCTCCCCATCATTATCATCATCGTCGGCGTCGTCGTCACCCACCTTGATGGCCTCGAGCGAGTCGTACTTGTCCAGCTTGCTCGTGTTGAGCCCGCTGAGCGCGGGGCTGAGCCCGGGGTTCAGCGGCGCGGGGCCCTGCCCGCCGGGGGCGCGGAGCGGCCCGGCGAGGAGGCCCGTCGACGGCGGAGGGCCGCGTGGCAGGCGAGCCAGGGCCAGCGTGGCCCCGCGCGATGCTCCGCCGCCCCTGGCTGCAGCGTCGCCGCCGCAGCAGTAGCAGCAGCGGCGGCGCCAGCTCACGAGCAGCAGCGCGAGCAGGCAGCCCAGCAGCCCGCAGGTGAGGCCGGCCGCCACCACGTGCGCCAGCGAGAACTCTGGGGGAGCGGCGACAAGAAGCGCAGGTTACGGTCGTGCGACGCGAGTTCACCCCCTGGAGAGCTGAACGGACGTTCGAAAGAACTCACAGGCAAACGCCTCGTTGTGAAGGACCCCTGGGTTTGAACTTCCACGAAGCTCATGGTCCACCCGAAAGCGCATCCACTGCACGAACCGTGGCAGATGGTTTAGCTCTGAGCCACCAACGGCGATTAGCACCTCCCCATTGTCGAGAGGGGACGTTTTTACTTGACTCTCCATGCGTCTGTTATTTTAAACATGAATTCATTTGTTTCGTTCTATGACGTGCACGATGCTTGGTTAAACAGATATTTGCATACTCTAATTGTATACAGGGCGTCGAGCCGCGGTGCTACTGATTGGATTGGGGTAACTATTGTTGCTGTATCCATATTTGCATTTTATCTCCAGCTTATTTTTAACGACACAAAAAATCCCCCCCCCCTCCCCCCATACTCCATGACACAAAGCATGAGCTGCTCAACTGGGGACATTGAATAGCACATCTGATGACAAAGCAAAGGAACAACGAACATAAACTACAGAGAAAATCATCGCAGAGTGAGAAATTCAAGATAAATAGCGGGGGCATTAAAGAAGGAAAGAACGATGTAGGGTCCTGCGTAAAGCCACGTGTTTATCTATCTATTGTAAAAGCCCCACGTTCCATTTGTCCGTTTATCCGTTTGTCTGTCCGTTAACTAATTAATGAGACCCTTCCAGAAGGTGTGGGGGTGAAAATTGAGCCAGCAGGTTTCCAAGAATTGTCGACCCATGCCCCCCCCCCCCCCCAAAATAAAATACGTAAATGTATTTTGTAGGCACATATACCTACAAGCACACCCTGTAGTCGTGTCTGCACACATTGGGGGGGGGGGGGGCGGTGTGGAAGAAGTGGACATCAGCGGGGGCGACGGGCGAGGCAACGGAAGCGCCGAGAAGCCCCCCGCAGGCGCTTTGCAAGTTGTTCAAAAAAAAAGTGAGCGGACTGCCCTTTAGGGAGAATTACCTTCACTCAATTAGAACGCGTTTCTGAAATGCCATGTGCTTTAGCCACATGGCAATTATCGTCTTACCTCCACATTTCCTTTTGTCTTCCTTTGTCGAGTACGCCACATTTACTGGTATTTCTGAAAATAAAGGGCATTGTTGAAACTTCATTAAGCATGCCCGTTCAATTAAGTCTCATTGTGATAACTCATTGGCTGTGCTCATTCTACAGGAAGATGTTTGTATTACAGACATAATAATAATACATTTGATTGGACCATTACTGCACTGAAAACACAACTCTTAAATAAATAAAACATTAGAGATGTATTTGTAGTATTATTATTATCATCACCACAAAACAATGGTGTGTACTTAACCAAAAAGTTGCGGAGACGCTTTACCTGGGAATATTCTGCGATGGTAAAGGTACAGCCCTGCAACTGCTTGCTCACACCACTAGGGACAGAAGGGCCTACACTAGAGGGAGTGCTACAGACCCCCTCTGGGGAGAATTTGGCCCATTCTCCCAATTCATCATTTTAAGGCTGCGTGTATTTCATACGGCATATGCATACCTCAAATGACGTGGACAAACAATGATGGTCATCTCAAGCACAGTTTAGCTTTAGATTTTATTTACTCTCATTTGTCCGTGTACACTGTCTTGACTGGAGTCGGTCACATTTTCCCGAATGTATTTTTGCGATGACCATAGACATTAAAACCACAATGCACTTTTTCAGGACACGCTGATGGTTTTCTGCAACACATTTCTGTACAGTGCTTGAAATATATTATCGTGCTCCAAGACTGTGGTCGTATTTGTGCATGATGGGGGTTCCCTCCCACCCCCATCATGCACAGATTTGATTGTTTCTACTTCTAACTTTTTTTTGCAAATTTAATTTGGTCTGCAATCGCTTCCTTGCCGAGCAGTCCTCTTGGAGCCTCGAGGTGTGCCGCATGGGAAGGGGGAGGCGGGGGAGGGTGTAAACAACACAAGATAACGACGACTACCAGAGACTGACCGATGGCATTGGGGTGAAGGGGGCAGCCCCTTTCCTCCGTGCTGTTGCCCGGACATCGGCGGACGTCGGGAAAGGGCGCGGTGCAAAGGCGCGAGCGGAAACGCCGTCCTCCCGAGACGCCGCACTCACTCCACGTGCTCCACTCCGACCAGCCGTCTGGCACGACACACGGCATCCACGGCTCAAATGCGGGGTGTGGTGGTGCTGCTGCTGCTACTGCTGTGTGCATTGTACAACGCTCACGCAGCTTAACCCTTTCCCGTTCCGATGATGCACGGGCGTGTACGTCATCAGTGTTTTTCTTCCGAATCGAATCGGAATAAAAACTAAAATAAGATAACTTTATCAGTACTGAGGCTCCCACAAGGCCATGCGGGAGGGCGTGCGGCACAGTTTGGTGCCGGCTATCATAGAGTGCGGTCGTGTCGCTACAGTTCTCTGCGGCGAATACAGCGTGTTTAAAAACAACGATGCTACTACACCTCTCTAAATAAAATGAACGCCAACCGCTTGCGTGTTCCGAGATTCAGCGGTGAATGGGACCCACCCTGAAACTTGCCTACGTCTCGTAACGGCAATAGGGTTAAACGGAACTCCCTATCGAAGTAATCAGTGGGTTATATTTGTACCTGTTGCCGACCCTGAGCCAGTGATAGAAATTTCACATTCCCGTGTTGAGCGATTCATAATAAGTAGCTCGGCACGCAAACTTCATCCTCAAATTCAATGACTTTTAATTATTCGCAAAATTCATTTTTATTCAAGGATCAATTTAATTTTCATCTCGTTTGTACCGTCTCTTTTTTATGTGCATAGTTTGCATCTCATTTGTTTTGTGTTGCCCGCTCTATTAGGCTTAATGTAATTTGCGTAAATCATAGATAATTGATACGAGCATGATTTGATCCACGTATTATGAGCACAGTAATTGATAACGATTGATTAATCACTACATGCCAACAAGCAATGTGCCCTAATCTCACATAGTTATCTAATATTTGGTATTTTTTTTATTAATCTGAAACAGAAGCATGAAGTGTATTGCCTGCCGGTGTTGTCGCATTAACCCAAGCCGGTGACGTAATTATTTGCCCTTTTGATTGCGGAATAATTTTCAATAAAAAATGTTGCAAAAAATGTAATCTAACAGCAATTTGAATACAAACTGAAAACAAAGCAACGATACAGGATTACCAGTACCTTACCGTCAAGAATCAGAGTAACAAATTACTCTCCAACACTGTGCAGGGCCTATATAACATTAAAATATCTTCTTGGTTTTTTCGATAAAGAACCAAGAAGATGAATCCCTGCAGTCACGAAAGCTTTAAATCGAAAATTAAAATAGCTCCCTGCTCAATCAAACCTCAATTTAATAGTGTAAATTCCATGTTCTCATGACAGGGGCAAGTCTTTCCATTGGGTGACCAGTGACAGCGTGTGCAGCAAAATTAATTTAAAACCGACACTGGTGACACTTCAGTACCCAGAGCCCAATAAAACACAAATTAAACCAGGCACGGACTTAGAAATGTCAGAAAAGGAATAGCATAAATGCGTAAAAAATCTGAAATGTGCCCAGTATCTGCGGTAACGTAGTGACATTTGGAAAGTGCAAGCCCTCACACACAGCCCTCGCAATCCACGAAGTTTGCGGGTCGAGAAGCAGGCAGGAACACGTGACCATTTTTCTCTGCGGCGCTCACATTCTGTTTACTCTTAGCTTTTTTTTACCAGGTAAGGCTCACTGAGTGATGCAGCTCTTTTCCAGAAGCGACCTGGCTATCACGAATGATAGCTCCATGAAGTGGCTTATCACGTGGAAATGTATGGCCGTCAAATACCCTAAACGCATGGTACAACATGTGGAGGGAAAAACCGGAGGACCCGGGGAAAAAAATCCACGCGAACATGGGGGGAGAACACGCAAAGTCAAAAAATAGGCATGCATATCAGGGTCGGGATCGAACCCACAATGTCCTGTATACCAGGCGAGGTAGTTAACATCTCGCCACCGCAGCGTCCAAGATGACAACAGGGGAGGATTTTGTGGGCGCGGCGTTTCTCATGAAGAAAATCCACGCTCCGGTGATGTTGTATCGGCGCGTCTTACAGTATGCGGCGCCGTCAGTACCTGGGCAGCTCTGCGTGTTGCACAGGGCCTCCTCCGTGTGCAAGCCCAGGCAGATGTCCCCTCCGTGTGCCGGCGGGGGGTGCGTGCAGGCGCGGCTGCGCTGCCGGTGGCCCCCTCCACACGTGGCCGAGCACGCAGACCAACTGATCCAGCACGACCAGCCGCCGTCCACTGCTCACGGACAAGGAGCATGGACCGCCATCACGCGAACTCCGGTCATTCTTGCAGCAGTAGCAGCAGCAGGAGCAGCGGCGGCTTTTGGCTCGCCGTCGGATAAAGACGGTCACCGCATCGCGCGCTTTCAGATGCGCTTCTGCGCACTGGAGGTGTGCACTGTTACATCTAGATTGAAAACTCATTCATTGCGAGCTGCTTTTTGTGTTCATCTTGTTGTACTTCTCCCACACCTCCGATGAGCACGGTTGGCTACGTACAGTGCGAAATAAGTTCAACATACATCCAACATCAACGTTGGCATCAGCCTGATTTGCACGACCAACACTCGAGCAGAAGCGGAGGCTTTGTCGACTGTTAGTTTTAAGTGTTTTTATTTTCCTGAGAGGTGGTAAAGTGACTCAGGGGTCAGAGGGCTGAGCTGACACCACCGAGAGGCTGGGCTTGAATCTGGACGACCACCTCCCTCTGTGGTTAGCTGGTTTCTCAAGTCGAGTGATTTCAGAGTCTCAGCCCCGGTCACCATTGATTGTACAAAGTACACACGCGTAATATTAAAATGGGTTTTTCCCAAATTCGAAAAAATAAATGTACGGTTTAAATGCCATGTGATGAATGTCTATAGAGCAACACATGGGGAAGTGTAGTTAAGCTTATAAGAAGTGTTGTGGTATCACATTCCACAGGCCATTCTCTTTCTTCAAATTCCATCATCTCATTACGTAAAATCTGTTGTACAATTAGAATACAATTAGGGGGGGAAACAACAACGAAGAAGAAATGTTTTAACCCGTTCTTCTGTTGGACAGCCCACAATGTACTTCCTAAGTATGCACCTCCAAGTTACAATAATTTGCTTCAATGGATCGTGCCCTCCTTTAGCACAAGAACACAAGCTTGCACACGTGCGGTCCCAAACCTGGGCAGGCCTGCAGGTTGCATTCCTGGAACTCTGTCGGGGTTCCGGGGCACTGCTGCTGCTGCTGCTGCGACTGCTGCTGCTGCGACTGCTGCTGCTGCTGCTGTCCCGTCATCATTGCCGCTCCGGCGCCGCACAGACGCCTGCGGCTGCGGAAGCCGCGGCCGCATCGGTGCGAGCACTGGGACCAGGCGGCCCAGGGAGACCACGCGGTGCTGGCGGCTGCCGCCCCCCCGGCACGGAGCCCCACGTCGCCTGGAGTGAGTGGAAGGAGAACCGGCGGCGAAAGCAAAAAGGAAAAAAAAGTTACTTAAGTGGAAGATGCGACTCAAAATACCGAACTGCTCTTTTGATTAAAGGGGCTGCCCTGTAATTACCTTACTCGTGCCTTGCCTGGCGGAAGGGCCTGCACTCGAGGGCATTTGGCCTACTCCTTTACACCTGCCAAATGGCTTGGAAGAGTTTGGAGTACCCATGCTTTAATGCGTGAACCACAGTGCCACCCAAACCAATTGCGTTCAATAATTTTTTAATGACTTGAAAAAATTGTGTGTGTGGGGCAGTGCTCAAGTCAGTTGAATTCAGCATTGGAGACTCCACATTCCCAGGGGCCCAGTGTCTTAATAGGAAGACCACTGTAAATTTGCACTGCCTGCACAGAGCCACCGCTGTTGCTTCCTACAACGTGGTTCTCATTTGAACAATGAGAAGCTTCAATCCCGATGGGATTGAAGCTTCTCATTGTTGCTTCGGGCACTCGAACCTCGGCAGCTGACGAGGCTGTGTACGTTCAGTGACGTCTGGCAGCCTCGTCTCGCTCGTATCCGGCTCACCGCTCGGGGGCACAAGACCTGCACCTTCGCCAGCTAATGAGACCACACTCCAGCCCATAGCCTCGCCTGTGCCAGTGTGTGTCCATGGGGGGAGGGGGGGCGGCCTTAGTTTTAGTTTAGTTTCATTTATTAGGTATAGCCCTGTGAGCCATGCGGCTCTTGACTCGGGTGCAACCGCAACAAACAAAAACATGAACAAGGAACATCTTAAAGTGACTACGCGCAACAGAAAAATTCAGGAAAAAACAGCAAAGTCTTCTAGACAGAAGACACAGCGATAGAGATGTACGCGTGGAGACAGCGATGGACTTAGATACCAGAAGTGTGGACAGTGGATAGATCCGAAATGAGGTGAGAGAAGAGAGACGCAGACGGGACAGATTTGTCGTGCGATGAGAGAGATGTCTGCAAGAGGCAGCGATGCAGTGAGATGAGATAACGGAACTGCAGACAACGCAGAGACAAAAACGACGAATTACCCATCTTCCATTAAGTTACTTTCTTACTGTTACGATCTAAATTCTGGCTGATATTTCATCCTTGTGATTTTTTTTTGGTTGAAGAAAATCGAGCGTTGGGCCTCCACCGAGCACTCGTCGCTGGTGCCTAGCGCCTCACCCTCTATGGAGCACTCGTCGCTGGTGCCTAGCGCCTCACCCTCCACCGAGCACTCATCGCTGGTGCCTAGCGCCTCACCCTCCACCGAACACTCGTCGCTGGTGCCTAGCACCTCACCCTCCAGCGAGCACTCGTCGCTGGTGCCTAGCATCTCACCCTCTATGGAGCACTCGTCAGCACCACCGGCGGTGCCGGCGGTGGCGGCGGCACAGAAGCGCATCTCCACTTTGCGCCGGCTCGCGTCCAGCCCGCCGGGCTCGGCGAGGCGAGCGCGGCACGTGTAGCGGAAGCGCTGCTCGTGCCGCCCTCGAGCCGACACATTGCCGCCGCCGCCGCTGCCGCCTGACGCCACGGGCACCCAGGGGGTCCACGGCGTGCTGCGCCGCGTCTCGGGGCACGGGTCCAGGCTGCACGCCTCGTGCTCCTGCGGCGGTCACCCCACAGGGGGGGTGGGTGCGGCAGGGGGGGAGGGAGCGAGTGAGATCACTGAGAGAGACAAAGACAACGATCCCCCCGTGTAGCCTTAACAGATTGATGATTGCACCCGCGGGTATCGAACCCAGGTCACCGGGTTCATCGCGCGATGCGCTATCCCGGTGTTCCACTGCTCGAACGCATACGTACGTACACACAAACAAAGACTTACAAAGATCCCCCATGGAGCCTTCACAGCAAGTGCTGTTAGTAAGCACCTATGAAGGTTGGCACAGTACACGAGGGGGTGGGAGGCCAGCACCACGCCCGACCGCCTTTATCTCCCCAGTGGCGATGTTTTCACACACCCTAACAGGTACTCATTTGACGCTGCGTCGACCTAGGGGAGGTCCAGGACCGGTTCAGATAATCGCCACCGGTGTCGACCGTGAGCGGGAATCAAACTCAGGTCACCAACTTAGTAGGGCAGCGTGCAAACCGCTCCACCACCGCTCCCCACAATGGGCGGAGTGAAATAACGGAGCGAGAGAGCCACCAAACGCACACACGCCGTGCATAAAATGTGTGCATATTGGGGACGCAGGGGGAGGCAGGTGTCCTCTGAAATGTTGGACAGGAATTCAAGGTTTTGCTCCTTTCATTAATACTCTTCATGGGTCCCTTGCCTCACCAAACTTCGACCCCCAATGGCTACGTGGGACCTTCACATCAAATGTCGTCCCGTGTGCCCCACGCAGAGGCAGCCGCAGTGAGGTGCCGTGATGGAGACAGCGAACTGGAGGCATATCAATCGAGACGGACAAACAGAGAGACGCGAGCATGTGAGAGATTGAGACGGAGAGGGAATGGGAGGCAGATTGTTATCGGAGAGAGAGAGGAGGGAAGGATGGAAGAGGGGTCAAGTGGCAGGTGTGGGAGTCGCGTCTGGTGTGACGCTGGGCTGAGTTGACTCTAAACCAGGAGCTGAACTTGCAACAATCCTACTTTTTGAACCAAGCACTTTAACCACATTGCCAGCCAATAAGATACATTTTACTATCTTCTTGGTTCATTTACGTGACTTTACTGAAAGAACCAAGAAGATGAATCCCTGCAGTCACGAAAGCTTTAAATCGAAATACATTTTACTAATTTATTATGTTTAACCTACTCAATCATTTTATAGTTCAGATTTGTATTAACTGCACGTTGACATGCATGGCTTTTTCTCCCAGAAGAGGAGCATTCATGGACTGGTCTAATTTATATATATATTTTTTTCTCTAAATTAAAAACTAATTTCTTTAGAACTGCTTGTTGTTAATTGGTTCTTTACCCTTCTACCTGGCAACAAAACTGACACCTTTTTACAAGGAGTCATGTTTGCATAGACCGCAATACCTGCAGTCATAAATACAAACAAAAGACATAACTCTGATAATGTGCACTGTCCTTGAAGTTGATTGGTCAAGGACAGTGCACATTATCAGAGTTATGTCTTTTGTTTGTATTTATGACTGCAGGTATTGCGGTCTATGCAAACATGACTCCTTGTAAAAAGGTGTCAGTTTTGTTGCCAGGTAGAAGGGTAAAGAACCAATTATCATATTTTTACTGGCAAATGAGGTCCCCATAGAACTGCTTGTTGTGTCTAGTTTGTTCTCCTTGCCCCGCACCTCCAGTCAGCACGGTTGGCTACGTACGGTGCGAAAGAAGTTCAACATACACACGTATCTGTACCTACACGTCAACAACATTTCTTGTTTTTCCACTTCCCTCCAAACAAACGTGCCTTCTTGGAGTACATAATGTAAGCAGCACGAGTTCAATACAAGCAAACTCTTGCCCAGTTTCTACACACAATGTTTCATCCGCAGGGTCAACATTTCTTAAGCCAATGCTAGAGAACTGCCAGAGTTAATAAGCAAGGACCCTCGTTTTGAGATATCCATCCTAGTGTTTTGTGATAGCATTCACCACTCAATGCACATAGCATTGTATCACCTGGAAAAACATACCTAGGAATAATGTATATATATATATGTGTGTGTATGTGACGATTATCTCAACTGGTCCTGGGCCCTCCGTTGGTCGACTCGGCCTCAAATGAGTACTAGGGAGACAAATGCAGCCAGGCGTGGTGCTGGTCACTCAGCCCCTCGTGTGCCGTGCCGAGCTTTATAGGTGCTTGCTGAGAGCACTTGCCCCAAACGCCTGCTGAGGTTATATTTGTGTATATAGAGTAAAGCTGTTTTCATCACAAGCGGTTGTGTGGTCAGCTGTTGGAACGCCGCTCGTAACAAAGCAGCAGCAGCTGCAAATACGGTGATAAATAATTGTGCAGAGAGAATACCTCTGCATTCACGGTAAAAGCACTTGATTTCTCCTCGCTCACCCGAACTCCAAATCCACGCCGAATCGCACGGGGGGAGTGATTGACCAAATGTGTGCACGAGGTCGTAACGTTATTTCTTTGTTGCAGACAGCCCGTTGGCTGTGATGTAGGACACGGCTTCCGTGGGCTATCTCGCTTGAGCCGCCTCTCCGAAAGACTGATGGCCCGCGGCACGTTCAATGCCCATCCGTGCAGCTGTGTGTAATGTGCGCTCCGGAAAGAGTCGCATCAGCGGGTTTTTTTTTTTTTGGAAAGCCACCCGCGCACTTCTCAACCAGCTTTATCCGTCACCTGTGCCATTAAATCATCTGTGCTCGAGGGATGACGGCGCCATTAGATTAGTGGGGGGCACGCGCAGGCACGAGATGGATTAGAGCTGCGGGCACGATGCTAGAGGCAGTGAATACAAGCAGGGTTATGCCGACATCCAGCAGAAGACAGAGAATGGATCGTCGTGATGGGGAGGGGAGGAGGGGGAGGAGGTGATCATGTTTGTTTGGTATAATCACGGTTGTTGAGCACAGTGCCCAATGGCCCAAAATGCCAAGCGGCCAGCAACAGACAGCACTAATGCACGTCAGCAACTGCCCATCAAAACAGGGATTAGTGTGAGTACCGGAGCCCTGTATACTTGCTGATGATGAAAGATACTTGGCAGCTGTTTATATATGCTTGGTTTTTTCGGTAAAGTCACGTAGATAAACAATATTTTTTATAATAAAAGCAAAAAAACAGAATAAAAAAAATAGTAAAATAAAAAAAATTGAAATAATATAAGCTAAAAAAATGATTTTATTTTTTATTTTATTTTACTATATTTATTTTTTATTGTGCTTTTTTGCTTTTATTATTTTCAATTAATTCTTTTTTTATCTACGTGACTTTACCGAAAGAACCAAGAATATGAATTCCTGCAGTCACGAAAGTTTTAAGTAAAAATGTTGCCATTAATATATTCAATTTTATTTATATTTCTACAAAGTATAATTAAATGTTTCCATAGAACGGAGTGGATTTTTTTCTTTTTACAAAATTAGTCACGGGACTTTCTCGTTTGGGATTTTGCTCATTGTACGCGTAGTCCCCACGTAACGAGTTTTTGCCATAACGCGTTTCTGCCATGAAGGGTAACTTTTCTCACAACGCGGAACGCGTGCCGTTATAACGTGCGCCGTTATACCACGCTTTCTGAGTGCTCGACGACGAACTACTTTTTGAGCTCAGCGGCTGAGCGGTGTGATGCAGTACATGGGATGATACAGCAACGTGGCGGCGTACCCTCCGTTATTTGCCCGTCATCTCACTGCGTGTGCCTCGTTCTTCGTATCTCGCCAAACAATACTATCACATCATTTATGGGGAAATTGCCTTCACTTCACGATTTCTTTAGCTTACCGCAGCACCTCTCAGGAAGGCATCTACCACGTTAAATGAGGACTTACTGTCCTGGCAAAATGATAGCCGACTTTTGCAAGTACTGAATTAATTCCTGAATGTGTGCTGACTGCCTCTGGAGAGTGCTCCAAACCCAAAGCGAACTAGCTAACTGTGCTTAGCCGTCTTATGGTGGAGTTGAATCATATTAAAGCATTGCGATGCCTATAATCTGTCCGGGTGGTGCTGTGCTCGTCACGCGGAAGGTTGCGTTGTCACGCGAGATTTTCACCTGATAATGCCACCCTCTTAGTGTGAATAAGGTTCGTGCGTGTTGTGGAGAGTTGACGGCGGTTCTATGGAGAGACTGGCTCCGACCACAATGACGTGGAATTCCCATTGCTTGATCAGGATCCGCCAGCAGAGATGAGTGTCGCCACAGCGCTCCTTTGAGCAGTGAGACAGTTTGACTTTCGAGAGGAGATGAGATTTTGATAAAAAAAATTGCAGCTATTTTCCTGACTTCCAAATTCTCTTAGGCTCTCCACACGAGTGCCTCCAGAGACGAACAGAACAAAGAGTCTCCTACTTTACTGTTAAAAAAAAGAGGCAATTGATACCAATTATCGGTGTTCCAATGATACAAAATTCCACCCGATTTCACAACTGCATGTGGCAATCGCTCATAGGTTACATTCACAGCAGAGGCACCGAATAATGGGGTGGTTCGTGCGTTATATAAGGGAAGGAAATGAGAGTTCTGAAATCTGAACAAAAAAAACTGAGAATAACAAAAGAAGCGATACGCAGATAAAACAATATCGCATCGACGTGGATGGGTGTGGAGCTAAATGTCGTATTTATCAGCAGCCTCTATAATGCGGTGTCCGAAGAACACGCAGTACAACCCTTAAAACACATCGGAGAGCTATCGGGCATTGTGAAAACATTCACGTATGAAATTGGCAATACATTGTTGTTTAAGAGGCTATCTTTGGCGGTATATGTACAATACGTACCATAATCGTAGCCCATAATTGCTTTGGAGACCAATGAAATAGACATCCCTTTAAGGGAAGTCAACAGTGTGCATGTTGAACTTGTTTCGCATCGTACACAACCAACCGTGCTAATCGGATGTCAGTACAATTGTTAGACCGTCATAGTAATGTGGAATTTCAATTGATGGGAATTAAGTCTTATTCATTGAAACTATTGACATTTAAAGAGACCAATGTTTCTATATAGCCGGATTAACATGTCTGTCTGTCCATCTGTCAGTCTGAGTGCCTGCCCGTTTCATTCTGTAATCATTGTTATCATTCTGTTATCATTCTGTTATCATCCTGTTATCATTCTGTTTCGCGCACCTCCGATTAGCACGGTTGGCTACTTACAGTGTGAAAGAAGTTCAACACACATCATTGTTAACTATATTTCTGTTAAATCTTTTCTGCATTTCATTAAAAAAAAACGAACCAACGTGGAGCCCGATTCCAATCCACGGCTGGATAAAAGCCTCTCCACGTCGGCTTGATTGTGGGGGGCTCTTTAACCATATTTTACCACGCCGGTCACTCTGGGTCAGTGAAGAGAGGCCCTAGACCACTTTAGATACCACTTTAGATTCCACTCGCCACCGGCGTTAGCCATGGCTGGGAAAGCGAGCTCAGGTCACCGGGGTCATAGCGCAGCAGTGCATTAGCGACGGCCACCACCACACCACCCCCGTCACATTTAATATTTATATTAAAAAACAAACCACTTATATATTTTACTATTTAACTAAGGAAAGCGTCAGACAATGGCTTTTCCGGCAGAGCAGGAACAAAAATGTTGATTTCTATTTTCAAGGGCAGAAATTGACTTCGCATCAGCGATATTCAGTGCCAACACCCAGACTAGAGGATATCCTCACATGCAATTGCAGACACGCACACTCGGTAAAGATTCCCCATGCAGCCTTGATAACTATGTATGCTGAACTTCCGTTTTACCGTGTTAATCGGAGGTGCCAAAAACAGTCGGTCCCAAGAGCCTTTTAAAGTACTTTTAAAAGACTGTTGGGACAACGGCTGTTTGCGAGCACCTATTACGACTGGAAACAGCACTCAGGCGTGTGGCGTGGCCTGTACCATTCCTGGTGAACTTTGTCTCCGCAAAGATGACGTTTCCACATTTCACCAGGTACCTATTTGATGTTGGGTTGACCTCGGAGAGGTTCAACACTGATTCAGATGTAACCGACTCCTGATGTCGTACAAACAATCACACACACACGTGCCCAAAAACACAGAACCAACCATTTGTACAGGTTCTGTGTTGAGCAGACTTCGCTACGATCCTGGCGACCTGCGATCAACGCACGAAAGCGGAAAAGTCGCTGTGAACCTTTCCCGCACGTCAGCACCACCAATGGAGAGACAAAGGTGGACAGGCACGTGCTTGCCACACCGCCCTCCCCCCTTACGTGCGCCTCAATAGGTGCCCGCACACAATTGTACGCAGCCGCACGTGCTTGGGAAAGTACCCTCCATGCAGCCTGATGGACGGTTCGGGGAAATCGCTGCTAGCGAGCGCCCATTCGGGTGAGCGTGGCTCACGCGAGGGTGAAGTGGAGCCGGATCCAAGCTCAGCCGCCTCTCTTTTCTCAGCGCTTGACGCTCGCGCACTCTCGTGCGGAGAGCTTGCTACGAATTTGACGAGCGCCTTGCTCCACTCTCGCCGCGTCCGTCAGTGCTGCCAGGCTTGTCGCCTGATGGGGAAGGTGCTCTGACCTACATTCCACGGCCCTCTGCTGCAACGTCCCCGCTCGCCTCCTCCTCACTCGACGCGGCAGATGCCCTCCCGGCAACCCGCCCGCTCGCTCGCTCGGCGAAGCGCCGCTCGTGCGTGAGCGGCAGCACGCCGTGAGGCCCCCCCAGGCCACTGGTTGAGCGAGCGCACCTCCCGCTCCCCCCCCCACCTCACCCCGCACTCAGGCCCGTATCTCAGAGGACAAAGACAAAGGTCCCCCGTGTAGCCTGTCACAGACCGTTAGGGGCAAGTGCTGTTAGCGAGAAGCACCGATGAAGGCCGGCACGGCACACGAGGGGGTGGGTGGTCAGCACCACGCCCGGGCCGCCGTTGTCTCCCCAGTGGCGATGTTTTACACACCACTCCAGGTACTAATTGAGGCTGAGTCGACCTAGGGCAGGCCCAAGACCTTTTAGAATAATCGTCACTGTTGTTGGCCGTTGAGCGGGAATCGAACTTGGATCACCAGGTTCTGAGCACAGCGCGCTGAATGCTCCGCTACAGCTCCCAACACCCCACATCGCTTCCACTCCGTGACACCCCCACCATCTCCCTCACTCGCTCACCCAGCGTCGTTCTTTTGCACCGCCCCCACTCTCTCGGGCAGCCCGCTCACCTGTGCTGCCTGAAGCCTCCGTTTCCCCCCCTTTCTCTCTCTCTTAACGCCAGTTCATCGACTGGCCGCTCATGTGCAGTTTATTTTCTTCCGCTCCGTGGATGCAAACACGCCCAATAGAAAGGGGGCAGTGTGAGGAGGGACCGCACGTGCCCGGGTCGACGGCTGAAGAAATTCAATGCGGCATTTGTCAGTGGGAACATTTGGGGTGTTTGAAACGCGTGCGTGCTTTGGCGAGTTTAAATTCGGCTTCTCATAACGAGGCAGAATGGGTCCATTGGACCGGTTAAGAATTCACGTTTCATACCGGAGGGATTTCATCGATGACTTGGAGCAAGGATCATGCAGGCACTGAACGTCTGAATGCGGCAACAAGTGCTGACCGTGGCTTGTGGAGCCAATGTACAGAGGTCACACGGCAAGTGTGGCCACATGGTCATCCATGCCTATGATGGTAAAGTAGACACACACTAGACTCCGAAAACTGGTCATCGATTTTACATCGATATTACATTGATGACCAGTTTTTTGGGGTGCTGTGCTGGCGAGATGTTATCTCCCTCGCTTGGAATACAGGAGGTGGTGGGTTCGATCCCGATCCTGACGCCTGGTGAAAATCTGGAGTTTGCATGCTCTCTCCGGGTCCTCCGGTTTTTCCCTCCACATTTAGAATCAACGTCACGCGTCTAGAGTATTTGGCTGCAATAAATTTGCACGTGATAAGCCACTTCGTTGAGCTGCCATTTGTGGCCAGGTCGCTTCTGAAAAATAGCTACAAAGCTCAGTGGGCCTCAGCCGGTAAAATTAAAACAGCCGATCGTAGTTTGGCTCAACGTGTTGTATCTCCGGTGACACAGGGTGGTGGCCACTCACCGCGTCGCAGCCGGTGCAGGCGGTGTCTCCGGCGTCGTCGGCGGTGCACGTGCGCCTCCGCGTGCGCGTGCCGCCCCCGCAGGGCGCGCTGCACGGCTCCCAGGGGCCCCACGGCGCCCACGACGCGGGCACGGGGCAGCGGGCGCGTTCGTTGCAGAACCTGCGCACGCGCGAGTGCCGATGAGGCACACCGAATCAAAGTCTAACCGTCGGTACGCGCGGTGGTGTTTCGCTCCGTTCTCGTAGCGCAAGGCTCTCGCGAAAGGAGCTGTTGCCACAGGCGACGATAGCGTCTGTAGTTGGGAGAATCACGGCAGGGGGGCGATGCCGCTACGTCGCTTTACCCAATGAGGTCATTTGCGAGTAATTTTACAAATTTGCCAAGAGTGAACCGTGACGCCCGGACGCATACTAATAATGCCGTGCGATCTTTACGTCCGCGGTGAAGCAGATGGCGCTTTGCTTTTTGTTTCGGCTAAATAAACCCACGGTATTAACCAGGGCGGCCGCCGGGCTCGTATCGCGAACCTCTGCGGCAAGCGGGAAATGCGCTACCAAATGCGCCACCGCTCATCCGTGTCACGTTATTCGCATCGTCCTTTCCTACACGCGCGTCAACGATGAGCAGCTCTAAACATCGGGGCTTCACGTAAAAATGTCAGTGTCTCCCTGCTCGAATGAGAAACGCGGCAGCGAGACCGCCGCCATTGGTGGCCCTGAATCAGTGGTGAGAAACCCACGATCCCCCAGGTGGGGAGCAGTCTCCCCTTAGGTCACCACCGCCGATGTCCCACGGAGTGGTAACACGTGTTAAGCACACTGTGCACTACAGGAGGGATGGTCAACAATGCTTCAATTATAAGTCAAGTTCTTTAGCAACAGCACCAAGAGTGCGGATAGAGGCCTGTGGAGCTCTAAAGAGGATGCCTCTGTTTCTTCCGGTTCAGATCTGCGGAATTTGTCATCCTTTAGGCAGAATGGCTCAATTTCTGAGCCGCGTGGACTATCCAATGCAGGCTCGGGCTCACCAATGGACATGAGCCTCGAGCACGAAGACACGCTCACTTTGACACTCCGCATGGGAGATTTGAAAAGAGCAGTGCGCTGATCAGCGCTGAGGATGTACGAGGCATGATAAAACAAACAAGTCCATCACCTCACGGCGATGCGGCGCTATTCCTGCGGGATGCGACACTCGGACTTTTCTGTCACCCCTCGTGTGTGTGTATGTGTGTGTGTATGCGTACGTGCACACATTCTAATAAACACATGCGCACTCGTACCTATGCAACGACGCACAAATTGGCCAACGGTGGCTTTGAACAGTGGACCTAATAGGCAGGCAGGCAGGCAAGACCACGGAGGGCATGTGTGTGTGTGTGAACACGGTATGTGTGTGTGAACACGGGGAAATTATCAACGTTAAAACAGGCACAGGCGACGGCAGACACACACACCGAACCCGCCGGATAAGCACGGGCGCAAGCGTGTGGACGGGCAAGCACACCGGCGAGGAGGGCCAGAAGCAAGCCATGCTGGCAAGGCGGTTCGATGGCGCAAGGTGGCGAGGCAGCTCGGCTGTCAGTCACAGATGACCAAAGGATAACAAAAAATGGTACGAACAGGAATAAATACGCGTGAATGGAAGCGTCGATGATGAGCTGCAACTGACAACTTCGGCTGCCATGGCCTAAACTGTAGCTCGCTTGTGACTGATGGGGAATAGTTGGATGCGAAGGGCCGGATGCACGTTTGCTGTGATTGAATGCGTGTGTGTGTTTTTAAGTTTTGTAAAGCCAATGTATGAGCCGACCTCGAGCACCCACATGATTAAGGTTTCAGCGTTGTCGTATACAGCTAATTAAATTACTGTGAAGGTGTAACCATATTCATGTCATGGCAGTGATGAAGATGGTTTAATTATATTGACTAGCAATGAAATGTGAACTAGGGCACCATGCATTATTATAATTGCCGTGGTTTACCCAGGAAAGCCTGACTGAGTCTCAAGACTCTTTTTCAGGAGGGTCCTGCCAAGTTTCTGCAGAGGGGGGTGATATTGCTGCTGTGTGTGTTTTCAATTGAGTCATTTGCTGGTCAAAATTTCAGCTTTGGCATATTCGGCCCATGTCAGTTACATTGTACGGTTTTTGTTTTGCTATGGGAGGAAATCGGAGAACCCAGAGCAATCCCAGGCAGAACAGGGGGAGAACATCCAAACTCCACGCAGCAAGGCGCCTGGGTCGGGAATTGAACCCAGGCCCCTTCTGGCTGGGAGGCGCGAGTGTTGCCGCAGTGCCACCCTGCTGCCCCCCCCCACCCCCAATTCTTTAATTTATCATTTGTAGTCTTTCGATGGTATGTTCCATCTTTTTCGTTTTTTTCGGTAAAGTGACTTTACCGAAAAAACCAAAGAGTATGGACCCTTGCAGTCACGAAAACTTCAAAACTAGAATGTTCCATCTTGTTGGGGTATTTATATACAGGTACCTAACCATATAATCATCTTTCAATGTACATACATTGTGAACACATCGAATCTTAGACGCACGATTAACTTCTAGTAATGTGAGCGTAGGAACTGATTTTGACCCACTGACGAATCGTTAATTATTCCGTATATTCTGTCCGTGCAATTATCCGCACTGCTCGTTCAAGCATTCCTTGTCAGTCGTATCAAAGCTTTTGCCTCCTGTTATACAAACTATATTCTAATCTAATGTTTATTTTTTACATTATTTCACCAATTGAGTAAATGCTGCAGCTCTGAATGGATGTCGTAAATGAAAACAAAAAAATTGTTGGCGATGTTTGTTGACAAAAAGACTCCACCGAAAATGACAAGTCCTCCGCACATGAACGTACCAGTAGTACTGCCGTTTTGTCTGCTTGTGTGTTCTGGGAGCGATGCCGTGGCCAGGCAGGAGAGGAGCGGGAGAGGGGGGGTTAGGTACACATGGGATGTATTGCACCAGAGTTTGCACGGTGGCATCAGTGGTGTTCCTTAAGATTGCAGCATTCATCAAATGGGACCTTTTTGCCAGCATAAAAATACTGAAAAAAGGGCCCCATAGATATGACTGCTCAATCCCGAGCTATGAACACTTTGATACTTGCATTACCTTTGTGCTGTTCGCCTTTTGGCGTCCTCTGGTCTCATAGTGGCAAGGCCATAAAGAAGGCTGTCTCTGGTGTGGGCCAATACGTTTAAAAAGCAATGCGTATATTATCAGAGCCTGTTTGTTTGCATACTTTGCCACAAGCACGCGTGGTTAACGCAGACTTGATGCCTTCCAATAGTTATCTGTTTGGACATCTTAATGCCTGTTTTATTGCCAGAAAGGGTGAAGCCTATTCTTATATATATATATTTCTTTTCAGCATTCATCAAAAAGCGCGCAGCTCCGTGCAGCCTATGACCCCTCTGGGATTATTTAGAGTGAGTGCCACTTTGTGAGATATCAGGAGCAGTTGTCGGATGGAGATGCAGCATTGGTTGCCCCCGCCGTGAAAATGTTACATTTGCACCCTTGGCCCAGGGAAGGCTGACAAAAATGATCACCACCCCATTGCTCACTTGAGCAGAGAGGCGCATTGAATTTTGATCCTGAAATGAATATTATAGCGATACAAAGACAGCAATGTTTATGGGCATTTTTTTTTTCGTTGTAGAATTTCTGCTATGTGTTCTGACACTGAGCCTGATTGACTTTGGCATCTCATGGTCATTGTTTTTTTTTTACTTCGTATAAATGTGACTTGTGTTCACGGTCTACCCACATCCATTGTTTGTCTTTGGCGAGGTTGCAATTTACCCATAAAACGGACGAGTAAAGTATCCTCCAATGTTTCCGCATCATCCTTGGGAATGCACGATCGGAACGCCGGCCGGAGACAATGGCTGAGCGTATGCTGCTTGTCATGAAGGTTTCCTGTACATGCCCCAGCTACTACTACGACTGTGTTAACCATAAGACATGCATCGTCTGTACAAATGTTATTTAAATGCAGTAATTCTGTATTATTGCATTATTTCCTGTTATCCCAGACATCCGGCATAACCAGAAAGGCTCATCCCGCAGCTTGGAGAGGTCTTGCTGCTGCTGTGCTGTTATTTCGGAGGTCAGTCCACTTGCGTTAATACCAATAGAGCAAACACCACATTGCATTACAATTCCTTTCAAATCCTCCCAATCAAGCAATAAACCATCACGTGAACTCCGGTCATCCTTGCAGCAGCGGCTTTCGGCTAGCCATCGAACAAAGACGGTCACCGCATCGTGCGCTTCCGGGTGTGCTTCTGCGGCCGTCTGGAACGCTCTTCCCTTCCAATATGAGGAAGCCACCGGAGCTGTGCACTACTACAATCTAAAATTGAAAACTCATTTCTTTAGAACTGCTTTTTGTGTTTAGTTTGTTGTCCTTCCCTCGCACCTCCGATTAGTGCGGTTGGCTACGTACGGTGCGAAAGAAGTTTAACATACGTACTGTACATTCACTCGGAGACTGATTACTTTTCAAAACACTGAGTAGTGTGCGGTCCACCACCACAAAGTCCCCCCCCCCCCGGCAAACTTCAACAAGGGCCACTGCACACCGCAAGGTTGTCCTGCGAAATTCATTGGCTCTCGGCAAACATTTGTTATGGTTTACGGCCACCAACGGCCAGTTAACACACTTACGGACCCACGTGCATAACGATGACCTGCGTTTATTGCACGTGGCCATTAGCCCCCCCCCCCCCCGAGGGGGTGCCCCTCTTGAGGCCCACTGCACGCGCTGCCGGCGTTCTTGAGAATTTGCCAATATTTGACATTTAACGCGCGAGTGCACGAACCAATTTAATGTGCAAGAGCTTAATGACTAAAATTAATTTGGCTTAATTCAGCGCCCGTTACTTCACCATCTAATATCCTAATCAGATTCATTTTCTGCTGTTGCAATGGGGACGTGAGCCAGCTCGTTCTCGTCCTCGTCAGACGTGATCTACCCACTGCTGGATGAAGGCCTCGCCATCTCCCGCAGCTGACCGATGCAGCAATCCATCTCGTTCCTTCACGCGAAGCTGATTTCATCGCTTCGACTCCGTGGTGGAAATCCCCTCGAACGCGTTCCCTCAGTTGGCTTCCACTCTGTCCTTGATCCCTCCCAGCGACCTCTCCTGCCCAAGGTGGCTTACTTTTTTTTACAGTCAATATATCGTATTAAACTTGCGTATGTACTCGGGTCCACGTGTCCCACTTTCAGTGTAATTACAAGTGTGCACTTGTCCACACTTCCGTGAGAACTATTCAGATTTTATTCCATATTTTTTTGTCAATGCCCAAATCTGTCCTCGATGGTAATAGAAATTTGATGAAACGCATTCTTTCTCAACAGGCCCATTGGCACATTACTTTTCTTGATTAATGTCGGTTTCCCAAAACCACTCCAAGCTGCTCTCGTGAACGGGAGCGAGGGAGCTACGTGGAGATCCAACGGAGAGGGAGTAGTCGTGTCTGCGTGCTCAGACAAGTATGGGCAGCGCTCCCCTCCACACGAATTCCACATTCCTATGGTGGGAACCACTCTCATCGTAGGCCAACTGCGACTAATCATAATATCATTCATCTAAATTTTTCGATTTAAAGCTTTCGTGACTGCAGGGATTGATATTCTTGGTTCTTTCGGTAAAGTCACGTAGAAGGGAAATAATAAAATAATACAAATATAAAACAATTGCTTGTGTTGCAGTCGAAACATCGTGAAATTTTTTATTGTTTTATATTTGTATTATTTTATTATTTCTCTTCTACATGACTTTACCGAAAGAACCAAGAATATCATTCATCTATCCAAGAAAGCCTCAGTAAGTGCCGCATTTTTTTTCTTGAGAGGATCCTGCATTGGCATATTTGAGCAAATTCCTTACTCAGGAGTTGCTTTTTTTGCACGAAAGAGGAAACTGGAATATCCAGAGGAAACCCACGCCCATGAAAACACGAATTAAAAAAATCTAAACGGAGAGGTATGCCCCATCTTATGTACGTGCCGTCTCCTGCAGCTCAGGGCAAGTAAAAATATAACTCCAAAGCACTGGATTCATGGCGTTGCAGCTTGCAAGCGGCCTTTTAGTCTTCAGTCCAATAAAGTGCAGTTGAGCAACCCACTTAGTACAGTGAGTGTGGGGATTTGCTTTGCTCTACATGGCTTACATTGGATGGCAATTAGGACAATTATGCAAATGAGACCCTGTGTGTGGCTCATTAATTTGGGTACAGATTTTATTACGATCAAGTTCAAGGCAAGGAGAGTCAACTGTGTTTCTAAATCACCTCAAGAAGATTTTTTTTTTAATCGGCACATTTACATATTTTAACTTCTTTTCGAAGGCAGTCATATTTCAGCAGTGCAATTAAACGATCACAGGGAATGGTCGTTTTCAGGCTGCAATATAAAAACAATTGGGTTTTTAGACACAGAGGAATCCGTAGCTGTAGCATATATAATTTTGAAAAACAGAAGCCACAATTAAATCTGTAAATCTCATTGAATATATGTATATTTCAATAATAATGATCTTTTTGCACTTAATTCCTGGCACAAATTGCACGTGCAAGCCATTTGGCAAAGACTTTCCGGTAAGAACATAAATGATTGGTGATTTAGTGAAATAATAATACAGGCTAGTGCATTAGAGGTAGATAATTTGTTGTGGACCATTATTCTGTGTTTATGCACTGTGATGTTTTTAGACTTACATGGGACAGCACTTACATTTCATTAAACATCACATTGCATTATTCTTTGGTTCTTTCAGTTAAGTCACGTCTAAAGATAAAATAATAAATCAAAATAATATGCTATTATTAATAATATGCTATTATTTTGATTTATTATTTTATCTTTAGACGTGACTTAACCGAAAGAACCAAAGAATAATTTCTGCAGTCACGAAAGCTCCAAAATTAAGATTGAATCACATTGCATGCCCTCCCTGACGTGTTCTTGGGTTGTTACCGCACGGTGCTCGGTACGATGTCTGACGTTCCCCACCACTTGAAGAAACAACGTCAAACGCCGTGCCGAGAGCCACAAAGCACAGCCGCGGAAACCCCACCAAGTAGTCACAGCATTGCAGTACTCGCAAAGTATATATCTCACAGTCATTTCCACGGCTGGCTCAGAGCCATTGGCAATATACAAATAGCCAAGGGAGCCAGCCCCTTTCATGCTCACTCCTCCGTTGAGTAGCGCCCATAAACTGGTACGAGTCGGAAAAAGGTTTTGACTTTTTAAATATAACTTTAGACACCCACGGTTACAATCAATGCATCGCCACGGTGCTGCGTAATGGGAATAACACATCCCACGCGTCTCTGGTTGGGCAGCCCTGTGGTTAAAACACCCAAATTCAAGTTGGAAAGTTGTGAATTCAAATCCCAGCTTGGAACAGACTCAGAGCATCAACCCTCCGGGATGTCTCAAATTGGCCCTCTACTATCGGAACTCAACCATCGTCATCCTACAGACAAACCAACAAAGTGCAAATGAGATAACGCCTAAGCATAGATAGATAGATTGGACCGCAAAGCCAATTGCTGGCACCAGCTCATCGCGTGTCTGCCTGCCTGCCTGCCTGTTGTTCCTCGTGCCTCTGAGTCACTCACTCTCGTAGAGAGTGTTGCAAGTCAAAGTTATTATTATCATCAGTACTACCCAGCACTTTGTTTATTGTGGGCGGTGTTGGGGGGGGGGGTTATTCCTAGGGACTTTCCCATCTCTCCACAAATCCTCTCCAGCCTTCCCGAGGCAAATCCACACACCCACCAGCCCGCCCGCCCAGTCACCCAATACCCATGCCAATACCCGGCCATTCGCCACTAAGCGACGGTGATGTCGCCAAGGCCCCTGTGCCAGGCCAGGTGCACTTTGAAGCCACGTGACCTATCACAGGCTCGCTAACAGGAGGTCCCGGGACAGGACCCAGCAGGTGCCATGGGTTGGCTGACTGAGATGACCGGTAGATGCACCACAAGCCGTACCCCCCAGCCCCCCCCCCCCCCCCCCGTGGTCCTCACCTCTCCTCCCGGCTCTGCCCCACGCACACGCGGCCCCCGTGCCGCGGGCTGGGGTTGCTGCACGAGCGCTGCCTCGCCTGGAAGCCCATGCCGCATGACGCGCTGCAGCCTGACCACGTGGACCACGGCGTCCAGCCGCCATTCCTACAGCAGCAGCAGCAGTCGCAGCAGCAGCAATGCAGTGTTAATGATTGACTCCGCAGTCGTAGCTGTAGTAGTAGTAGTAATAATAATAGCCACGATTATTGTTTAGTACATTGAGAATTCAGAAACAAAATCTGAATATTTATTTCGACTGGAGGAATCCGATGAGCTACAGAGCTCTTTTTCACAGATGTTGTAAATAATCTTGGGTCTTTCGGTCAAGCCACGTAGATAGATCAAAGAAACATTTTTTTAAATAAAAAAAATATCAGATGTTGTAAATGTCGTGGATTTGCTCTCCAACACACCGGTGCGCTGTACTAGTAACAAATTGGCACGTTCTGTTTACGTGACAAACCTTACTAATTGGCTGTGTCAGGTGGTGGCGGGTTTAACGACACATTTATATTTACGCGATCCAACATAGAAAACATGTATTGTGGATTTTCACAGATGTCCAGCATCCGCGTCGTTATTTGAGAGCAAGGTTACCCGGACGATGCAATGCTTCACAGGCGGGTGCAGTGCGACGCTACGTTTTGTGACGTTGCTGTGCAGTCTTGCTCAATTGAATAGTCTGCGAGACATTTTACAAATCTGGCGAATTTGTATGTCCACGCCGGGACACATGGCCTTCAACATCCACTGTGAAGCGGATGGCGTGTATCGATGCTGAATACTTTTTAAAATATTAATTTTGCATTTATTTACCAGGTAAGGCCCACTGAGCGATGTAGCTCGTTTTCACAAGCGCCTTCGGCCAGAAATAATAGCTCCACGAAGTGGCTTATCATCACGTGGGAATTTATGGCAGACAAATACTCTAAAACGCGTGCAGATTCTAAATGTGGGGGGGGCGGGGGGGGGAAACCGGAGGACCCGGAGAGAAATCAACACGACCACGAGGAGGAACATGCAAACTCCAAATATACAGCGGGCGTCATCGAGATCGAAACCCAAGAACCTCCTGTATACCAGGCGAGGTAGTTAATATCTCGCCGCCGTGGTGCGATTAACCAAGGTGGCCCCCTTAACCACGAACTTCTCCAATTAGCGGCAAATGTGCTACTCTCCAGACGCGTCACCAGCCCCGGTAATTGTCCTTAATATTCTGTAGTAGCCGGGGTTGGATTTCTGGCCTTGGCCCAATTCTTGGCTACGATTCATGAAAACAGTGCCAAATGATATACGATCCTGTCCCTATGTGGACTTGGCCTTAAATGAGCGCCAATTGTGGTATTTCAGTATCGGCAGTGGGGAGACAAAGGTGGACCGGGAATGGTGCTTGCCAATATGTACTTAACGAAGCATCAGCTCATCAATTAATGTCGATTAGTTGATGCGGCGAATCGTGCATGCGACAATCGATATGCAAATGATACCCAAATGTTTGGGATTCATGGAGTGAACTGAATTGTGTGACCAAGGAAGAAACAGCTGAACACGAATGTCATTTAAAAAAACAGACGGTGAAAATTACACGAAGAAATTGATTCTTGAATTAAAGAACGACCCGAAATCATAATAACTCGTCGTTTTGCTGGTGGGGTGAATTGTTTAATACCTGCTGGTCATACTCATGTTCCATGCCAGCCTGAGGAAATGTTCCCTATAACACCACTTGCCCCATGCGTCTAAAGGCTAAATGGGGGATTCTTGTGATGCTCGTTAGCAGCTGTAAAACGTTCCGAATGTTTGCCAAGGGCCAATGAATTCTATCGACAACCTTTTGGCGTGTAACGGCCCTTGTTGAAGTTAGCAATGAAGAGACCTTGCAATGAATGGGATTTTAACCTAATTATCTCCACGAGTCAACTGATCTGTCTTCTGACCTGTTTTGTCATTGGAGGCATGAATACACATAGAAACACACTGTATTTTAATTGAATGCGTTATACACACAACACAATGAAATCTGGATTTGTATAGCAGCTTAAAGTACTGTCTCAAGGTGCTGTACAAAAGAGTGGGCATTGTTCATCATGGGAAGGAGAGGCACGTATGTTATGTAGTTTTAAAGATGAGACATTCAGTTATAGCCCAACAATAATTGAATTATCATGGCAATTAAATCACGAATAACTATGGCAGACAAGTGCGGTTTTGTTATCTCCTGCAATAGTATAACTCTCGAAATAAAATTACGTAATTTGTAGTGTATTATCAAGAACTCATTGACAGTAATTACTATTTTATTTCACCATTAAAAGGTCATTGTCCTTTTATTTTATGGAGTGGTGTAAGATCGGTCAGGGCACTGCACGATCTACCCGGCGACTTGAGTTCTATTCGCTCGCCATGACGAACATCAGTGGCGACTGATGTCTGAACTCGTCCTGGGCTCACCCCTTCACCAACCCACACTAACCAGCGTGGTGAAGTATGGTGAAAGAAAAAACGAAATGGCATGACGAACTTTTCCCATTCTATTTTCCTCAAGGGACGGCGTTCACGCGTGGCATGTTGCACCATCGCGTGCGTTAAGACGTGATGTGTTTTACGGATAACGCTGGTGTATTTTTCATCGTGGATGTTATTTTGGCAATTGGCTACCAGCCAACACTTGCTATATTTGTAACTGGATACTTGACATCCACGAGCTCAAACATATGCTTCCCATTAAAATGTCACAACATTACTTGGCAGCTGGGAAATGAACCGGCAAAATTTGGGCTCAGATAAGTATTTTTCTTCCAGACCCGACAAAAAAGTACAAGCCTATAATCATCATTCACCTCCCCAACATCTGTGCGTACCACAATGCCAGCAAGAAAGCCATTTCCAGGACTGGAGAAGCCAAGCATCCCTATCGACAGGCATCGTGAATGTGCATTTCTCTCTGCACTCTAGCAAATGAACTGTGCGACGGTGCATTTGTTGCGCTAAAGGGAGCTCGCCTGGGTTAGAGCACTTGCAAGTGGAAGGCTGTTTGATTATGAGCCGACTGTCCATCAACCTCTCCCCAGGGTTAATAAAACGAGCGTCACTTGGCAGCCAGTCACCCATGTCATCCTCTGGAAAGCCTGGCCCTCGCCACATGAATGAGGAATTTACACTCGTGCCTCGGGGCTGCAAATGTAGTTCATTGCCACCCCTCGCTCGTTTGGGCAGAGTTTTACTGACTTAAGCCAAAGAGTGAGAGAGGGATATGATGTGATTCATTATTTCATTGCCCACAATGCACCCAGATGGCGTGTAATAATGCAAGGAATGGCCCTGTTCATGGATGGATCTCGCTTACAACGCCAGGCAGCCACAATTCAGCCACATTTATGCAAGACAAACATCGCTGATGAAACTCAGGGAATTGTAACCGATCAAAGGGTGTTTGCTGCTTGCACAAAACGCTGCTGAAAAACATTGCTTCAGGCAAGCCTTTTGGCCGGCGGACCGAAGCGTAATTTCAATGCTATTTATTTAGCAAAGCCGACCCGACCCCCTTTTGTTTATTCATTTAAGCGTTCCATTATTTTCTCACCTGGAGCAGTTGGCCACCTGCACGTTGGGCCCCGGGCAGGGCCGCCCCCCACAGCCGGGGACCGGGGAGTCGCACGCCCGGCGGCGGCACTGGCAGGACGAGCCCCCCCCCGCGGAGCCCCCCCCCGCGGAGCCCCCCCCCACGTCGCCGTCCCAGTGCTGGCACGGCTCCCACGCCGACCAGGGTCCCGGCCCGCCGTCCACGGTCAGGTTGCGCACCTGCGAAAAGAATCGCGGGGTCAAAGGGTGTCTCGCGCACGCTTGGAACGCGGAATGGGGCGGCGTTCCGGGTCACCACATCTGGAGGTACGAAAAAGAAAACCCGGGGACATATCGCGGGAAAGAGGAATATCTCACGGCAGCTGAAGAGGGGAGAACTACTTTGAATTATCCTCTGGATTATAAAATGCTCACAACCCAGCCCCCGCCACCCCAAAAGTTGTGCCCGGCATCAATAAAGTTTAACATATTCTGGACCCACACACACACACACCTACCGGATTGCAAAATGTACTCCCAACTGCTTTTAAAATACAGGGGGGAAAAGTGCATCTTATGATGAAGAGAATATGACAATGCAAATGCAATCTTGACTGGTGTGCTGTTTACACAACTGAAAAAAAAACGGGAACTTTGTGTATCCCACGGAGACGTGCACATTCATCGGGAAGGCTGCCTCAAAGGGTGGAAGGCGTCCTGGCAAACCGCCACCGCTCTGAGTCCGCTGGTGCAGGTTCTGCATTTTTATTTGTTGGCCACATTCACATCTGGGTTAAATGGTAAGAAGGCGAGTTTGCCCATTGTAACACAAAGCGATTTTATTTTTTTGATGCCAAACTCAACTTGGGAATTGGGCCCATATTTACATGTGGCTGAGACCAAATGTCTAACTTGTCGGTGCCACCGAAGGAGTTGGCATTACTTAGTAGGGTTCTTTGTAAAAATCTATAACCATAAATGACAGTTGGATGCAATATTCATTGAGACTGTATTCACATACTGATTACATTTTATTGGACTGAATAAAAACACCTATCTAAGGTTTTGAAATTTCAGGTGGTACCAATTTCTTCTCTGGCCCATGGACTAATCGTGTCTGGCCTATGGACCAATGTTCCACTCTCGTAAAGTCTGGGATTTGAACTCACAACTTTTCGAGTCTTAGTCAAGAACTTTACCACAGCGCCACATGGTTACAAAACATTGGGCATCGTGAGAGTGAAGGGTAGACGGATGAAAACAATCACATTGGGAATATAAATCTCAGTCCAGACATATTTTTTTATATAGAACATCAGAGCTAATATTGCCATGGCCATCAATCTTTCATTTCTCATTGTAGTATCATCAGTCAACAGTACAATAACGGCATGACTTTGATAATCGACCAATCAGCAACAACTCTAATATCTACAATGTTCAAAACACCACCGCTGGCCATGTGCTCATTCAATCAGGGAGCAATGTCTCAGGAATGTCAGAAACTTTTATTTGAGTCATCCATTCTTCTGTGGGCGTCTCAAGATGCTCCGGGTAACCGTTCGAGTGAACCGCTTTGTGTTGAACATAGATCAGGTTTGTGGCAGCAGAGCCATGCTCACCGGGCAGGAGGTGACATCCTGTCTCCACGATCTTCTGCCATCCCAGTTTTCTCGGAATCGAATGCAGCTTCTCAGTATCCCATCCCAGCCACAGTAGGGGTCTCGTGCCCGCAGACACGCGCTGATCCCCGTGGCATTGCAGAAGGGGATGCAGGGGAATGCGGTGGAATGGGAGAGAGGGAGGAATGGAGTGAGAGAAGAAGAGACAGATAGCGGGAGAGACAAGATACAAGGATGGCATTAATTGCGGCAAGATGCTATGGATGCTCCCACAGTAGTGTTACGTTGAGCAAACTGGACTTACGATCCAGAGTTCGCCGGTTCGATTCGATTTCCTGGCGTGGCAGTTGAAACACGTAAATGGGGCCGGACACCGTCACACTGCGGTTGGGGGTATATACCTCGACGTCTTGGCACGTGGGACGATCACGTGGGCGTGCGTGGGCGTGCGTGCGTGCGCACCTCTCTGTGCCGTGCGTGGAGCATCTCTCGAGTGGCAGGCGCAGAACGCCGCCGTCCACGCCCACAAACAGAGCCTCGCCCCCTGGGTCCACGCGCAGCGCTCTGATTGGCTGCTGCTGGACGGCTGGGAGGAGCTCCATCTCGTCGATGACGCATCCAGTGGCGGCTGCCACCTTCTGAACCGTGCCACGCTCTGCCAACCGGAGGACAACAACGATCTCAGTCTCGATCAGTCGACACGTGTGCGCCACTTCGTAGGTTTTTCGCGGTACAAGCCGACGTGTTTTCGGGTTGCCCCGTGTGTAGTTGGGCGTGATGTCTGACGTTTCGCTCCGTGTGCCGCGAGCTTCTTCAGGGACTGAATTGGGGTCTCATCTGAAGAAGCTGATTCAACTCAAAAAACTCCCAACAGGGAATTGTACGTCATCACTTTTGCTCCGTTAGTTGAGTGATATAAAAATGCCTGCTTTATAATTTTACATATGTGTATCTAACACACACTGGCAGGTATATTTATATACACACTGTTTAAAATAGGTGACTAGCAGAAAGACCCTAAAGGCGAATGCTGAATACTTTAATAGTGAATCTTGGAGTTCAGGTGTGTCCCCTAGGCAAAATAACGAATGAATGGTGAGGCGTGAGACATTGAATAACATTGCCCCTGATGACTGACCTCCTGACCTTCATCTTCTGGTAGAAACTATCTCACGCAATCAGACACATGCCCCTCATTATCAGAGGCCCCTCCCATCTCACCTGTGGCCAGGTAGAGGATGTGTTGGACGGCCGTTCGGCCGGACGAGGAGGCCGCCGCTGCCGCCATGCTGTGAGCGGCCACGTGGGAGAGGCGCACCCCAGGCTGGGCGACGACGGGACGCCCCCCGAGCGGAGCGACGGCCTCCGACATGAGCAGCAGACGCTGAGCGTCGGCCAGGCTACGCTCTGTCAGGTTCACGTTGGGGCCCTCGGACACTCGGCCACACTGGGGGCAGAGAGAAACGTCGGAAGTTCAGACGCTGCTGCCGGCGGTGTAATGGTTGGCCATGTTTGTTTGTTTTAGTACAGAGTTAGACTGATGGCCTTAATCTAAGTTGTCTTATGGTTGTTGTTGTTGTTGTTTGACTTGCATCCCACTGGGATTTTTGCACACAGCGTTGGTGTACGGTGTTTTTTTCTGCAATATTTTGCTGTCTTTTCTTGGATTTTCTGTTTGCACTTAGTCACATATTCACTTTAAGATGTTTTTTGTTCATGTTTTTTGTTTGTTGCTGTTGCACCTGATTCAAGAGCCGAATGGCTCACAGGGCTATACTTAATAAATGAACTTGAACACTGGACTTGCAATCCGGAGATCGTCGATTCAATTCATTCCCCCGGCATGGCAGTTGCAACAATGGTGCAAGTTTCTTAAATCCACCATCTCTGTCCACCCAGAAATGTGAATAGTTACACCACAGTTAGTCGATCGCAGGTCACGTGTGATGGGATAAAGTGAGGGCATTCCCACCAGAGGGCCTGTCTAGAACTCCCTCTAATGGAGGCCATTCTGCCAGCAATGGCGTTCAGAAAGCAGTTTTGGGAGTGCACCTTTACCATGACGTGTTATTAGTAACGAGGGTGGAAAGGTACCGAGCCATCATTAGCATCATTCAGAAGAGGGGCATTATGATGCACACATTCATCAGTTCAAAATGTGTTTTTTTTTTATTGTGTCCACGATACACACGTACAATTGTACGTGTGTGAAGCTCAATTATTTTTGCTTTATATATGTATGTAATTAGTTCCAATTTTATCCCTTTGGTACATAAGGTTGTTGTAAATATCTCTGCATGCTGAAGCAAGTTTTGGGTAGTGCTCATATCCACTTTCATGTGGCAATGCATTCGAATTTTATTGTTTCCCAGCCACAGCACGGTAGTGAGCAGCGTTACATAGTTGGCAAAGTGAAATATATGAAACGTCACTAAAATTGACTGCACTGCGTACTTTACGATTCACAATGCCTTCATGAGGGCACATCTCGCGGATATAAAACGCTTACAACAAAATCCTGCGGCACAAACGGCCGTTAAATATTACAATGTTCGTGCGCTCCTACAGAGAGCGAGGCCTATAAAACAATTTTCGCTGATGGTATTATGATGCTATTTTCTCGATGTTTTACTGCCACCATTTCAAAAATGTGTGTTGCGGTGCGGATGGGAAAGTAAATTTCAGTGAAAGAAGGATTGTACAAGAGGTGTTCAGTGTCTTATTAAACGATATGAACTGCTGAACGCCAACAGCCTGTGGTAGGCATCATCACAGAGCTTGCTACAAGTTCATGTCAGGCTTTGCTTTGAAGCCTGTCAGAAATGAGAGGTTGTTACTTCTCTGTTGCTTATCTTCCTCTGGCTGTCCAAACTCTACAGATCCTTCCCCCACATTTAATTCCAGGCCCAATACTCTATCTCTCTTTTTTCTCTGTCTGTGAAGCGTCTTCATATGCAGCACAGGACTACTCTATATCATCTCAACTTTCTGTCCGAAACTTTTCTCCTCTTTCCCAGCTAACAAAACAAAACACCCATCTTCTTCAAACGTTCTCTAAGCAGGTTTTCCCACTATTTGGACAAGCCTCTGGGCATGCAGTCAAATATCGATGCTTTATAAATAAATAAAAATTGCATTATACTGCACTGTACTGCACAACAAAAGCCAGCAGTCTAAATGGGTACACCGCAGTCGATTGGAATGTTGTGGGGTAAAGTGTGGATACTCCCATCTCTTTCTAAAGGTCTAGAGGGGCTTTCTAGAGCTCCCTCTAGTGAAGACCCTTCTGCCAGCAGTGGCATGAGAAAGCAATTTCAGGGCTGCGCATTTAACTTTCACACAACAGATCCCACTGCACAGGTGACATTTGCCCTGTAGATAGACTGGCCTTCATCGGAATGTTGCATTTCCACCACTGGCTCAAGGCCTGAAAGCAGATATGAGTGCTGTCCCGTGCTCATGTGAGTGAGAAAACACTTTGATTTGACTTGCGAGCCACAATCTGCTGAAACGCAATAATATTATTTTCCATTCTAACCATTGTGTACGTGTGTGGGGGAGAGGCACCTGAAAGTTGGGGTTGGGGTTGGGATGGACCATCCACGCTGCACGTGGGCCCTCCTGGTACTTGAAGGGTCCGTTGAAGGCCTCCGCGATGCTGCTGATGTTGTACGCGCACACCGCCGATGCCTGCGGACCACTCCTGCAGAGAGTTCAGCAGCCCGGACGTAAAGCGCCAAACATGAATTCAGTGTTCATTCCCAGCCAGGGCTCCGTTACAGCCAGGTGTGATCGGGATGGTGGACACACTTGGCATGCCTACTTCAGTCTGCAAGCGACCCAGAAAAATATTCGGTGAGAAACTAAGTCCTGCTCTGTTTTAAAGAGTGCCCAAAGCACAGAGGGATGTGTGCTCGAAATTAGAGACGTAAAGAGGCGTGTGCTGATCAGGCAAAAAAGACAAATTAGTCGTGACGCTGGGCTGTTAATTAAAGCCTTAGGCACAGCACATCTACAGTGGTACTACGTTGTGTGATGCCAAAGTGTATCCGTGCTCAAACAAGCAGTGGGACCACATACATGTCTGTTGAGGGACCAGAGCCAATTGTGTAAATTCCACCTTCCCATCGTGGGTTGAAAAATGAATGCCACGTTTGTGCTACGTTAACTGTGGGAATTGCGGAATGTCCCCACATTGCGACTGAGATTATACAACTCTGATCATCACCTTCATGTTGCGGTTTAGCGTTAGCCAAACCGCAATGCCATCCAGCCAAATTTTCCATACCACTGCCCCACATTATAACCAAAAAAGACAAAGATCTCCTGTATAGCCTTAACAGACTTTTGGGGCAAGTGTTGTTAGCGAGCACCCATGAAGGCCGGAACGGCCAGCACCACGCCCGGCCACCTTTGTCTCCCTAGTGGTGATGTTTACACACACCAGGTACTCACTGAGTCGACCTAGGGGAGGCCCAGGACCGTTTCAAATAATCGTCACTGGTCTTGGTGGCCATGAGCGGGTATCGAACCCGGGTCGTCGGGTTCGTGGCACAGCGCGATAAACGCTACAAGACCACGTTACATCCACACACATTTTCCATCGCGCCCGACACTGCATGTGCTCACCCGCTGGTGGAAAATAGCCCATAGAGAAGCCCGGCCTCGGGCAGGTAGACGGCGCTCCGCAGCTCCGGGTACTCGGGCGCCGCATTGCCTCTCCTCGAACCCGAACTTCCGGATCCGGCGGCGGCTCCGGCTCCCCCGGCTCCAGAAGAGGCCGTTCCAGACGACGACCCCGAGCAGTCGAGACGGGCCTTCATGTAGGTCGTCCACGTGTCCTCCAGCAGGAAGCGGCCGCCCAGGTCGTTGGCGCAGACGCGGGCGACGCGCGACACGACGCGCCGCCCGCACTCCTGCTCGACGGCGAGCTCGCGGAACGCCGCGTACACGAAGCCACCCGCCTCCCACGCCAGCACGAAGTTCGGCTCTGCAAGGAAAGCAAAGGCCACTTTACTTTTTTTCTCTCCGGGTCCTCCGGTTTTTCCCTCCACGTTTGGAGTCAACGTGCTTTTTCGAGTATTTGGCTGCTACGCATTTCCACGTGACGATAGGCCACATTTGTGGCCAGTTCACTTCTGAAAAAGAGCTGTGTAGCTCGGTGGGCCTTACCCGTATAGAATGAGACATACTTTAGCTTTAACCTCTTACGTACGTAGCCAACCGTGCCAATCGGAGGGGAAAAGGCTCCGTCTGCCCTGCCCGTCCGCAGTGCTTGACGATTTGAGGCCAAACTTGCGAGCGGCGTTGCGGTGGTGGCGGCCCGAGGCATTCCGCGAACCGAGCAGATGCTTAGGGACCCGAGCAGATCGGGGGGCGCTGGATTCGTGAAGAAATTTGGGGGGGTGCATTAAGCGTCCACTCAAATTCAAATCCTATTAAACATAACGAGCTAATTTACATCTTAAGTTTTTTATTATATCACTACATCTCTGTCTCTCTCATTTAACTCTTCTGTCGTCTGAAGAGGATTTTATCAATTGAATGGGGGAGGAGCTCAAATATTTGCTTTGCTCAGGCCCCCAATGTGCATTGGATTTTTTAATCGGAGTTCAGTGATCTCAGGCTTTACCGATGATAATGACGACGAGTCAATCTATTACTATGCAGTTTGGTAATCCTCAAATATTACTTTTAAATGACTGAACATTCACCCTTTGCTTTAAGATTCGGCGAGGTCCATATCTTGATGAAACGACCAAATTAGAGGGAGGGGGGCGGTCGGGGGGGGGGGGTACAGGGGTGGGGCGCTGGGGGACGAGGGGTTGGATGGAGGGGGGGCATGGGGCAGAGGGGGTTGGGGGTGGTGGTACCGTTGAGCCAGCGAGAGTTGTACTGCGCGGTGCGCAGGGTGGGCTGCCCGCCGAGGCTCCGGTAGAGCGCCGGGTCGCGGCCGGCAAAATCGACGGCGGTGGCGGCGTAGAGCTCCCCGCGCGCCGTGAGCAGCGTGGCGCTGCTCTGCCGCGGGTCGTACGGACAGCGAGCCACGCCGTTGATCGTGTCCAGCACGCGGTTCATGTTGCCCAGCTGTGCGGGGGCACACGAGGGTCCAACGTCAAGCGTCGGGGCGGCGCTCCCCTCTTGTATTGCATCCCTTGAGCCGGTGATGCAAATTCCACATTCCCGTGGTGGGTGAGATTCTATCCACAGGAGAACCCCTGTTGACTTCCCCGCAAAGCGGTACTTGTTTTTATCGACCCCGGAAGGATGATGGGCCGAGTCAACCCCCAACCAGGATGTGAACTCGCAACCTTCCGATTGCGAACCGCTCGCTCGACTGCAGAGGCAACTCGCCAGCAACATTTTAACGTAAAAAAAATTTATCGCAGAAAATATCCACTCAGTAGTTTGCTTCCTTTTATGCTTGCAAATTACATATTATACAAAACAATGGCTATTAAATTCACACCCTGTTATTCCTGTGTTTCAATATCAGTTACATCCTTGATGCTATGGGCTGTTGGGGCCCTTACATTCAAATAAAATCAGGCCCTATTCAAACGTTGGCAGAATCACGCAGTAGTTGCAGCCAAATCCGTGGCATTGTCTTGTGAATTGGTCAGTTTTGTGCCAATATTTGTGGAAATTGCCTTTCCCCGGTGCACTGTATAACGAGTTCCCCGTCTCTGGCTGGGTAGGATTCAGCCACAAATCTTCACTTGTGTGCCCAAACCACACAGCCTGAATCCCAGCTATTTGAGATCCAAATTTCAATTGACCGAGCAGCTCCACGTCCCTGTAGGCTTAGCGTGGCTCTGGCAGCTTACGGCTGCAGTTGTCCGTGCACCTTCATGTCGTGTGGCCGTTAGCGCTCCGTTGGGCGACAAACCCGGCGGCCTGAGTTCGATTCCCGCTCTAGGTCGACTCAGCCTCAAATGAGTACCTGCTGCGGTGTGTAAACATCGCCACTCGGGAGACAAAGGCGGCCGGGCGTGGTGGTCACTACCCACTCCATCATCTGCCGTGCTGGCCTTTATAAGTTGCTCGCAAACAGCACTTGCTCCAACAGTCTGTTAAGGCTACATGAGGGAATCTTTGTCTTTTTTGTATCTTTGTGTAGCAATGCAAAGCGTTGGCGCAGTAGCGACTACACATGTCGCTACTGGTGCTACTAGGATAATCCCGGCACTGAGTCTCGGGCATCTCGGTTTGCATTGCCAAGCCGTCGCAGGTGAGCATCTGCACCAACTGCGCCCGTGGTCCTGCAGGAATGCGTGAGCATAAGCAGCACTTTCCCCTCGTCCGCGGAAGCCCCATCGGGGAGGGGGGGGGTAAAGTTGGGGGGGGGACCTTCATCTTTTTTGCTGCGGAGACTCCGACCCACCGTGCGTTCGGTGCAGATGGGCGAGAAGGCGTTGGTGCCGCAGCTGAAGAGCCTGCTTGCCCTCACCAGCAGCACCCGCACGTAGTTGTGGCACTCCTCCTGTCCCAGCCATTCAACCGCACACCGACGCTCACGGACCGCGCGACGGATCGGGCAGCTTGGGCTGCGGAGCCGTTTGCGAGTTCGCACGTCGAACTTCTTTCGCGCCGCACGTAGCCTACCGTGCTCATCGGAGGGGGGATGGAGTTCCAGGCTCCATTGGGTTTCAACGCAGCCCCCCCCCCCCTCCCCCCATAATCAGCCGTCATTGACACTGCTGGACGAAGGCATCCTCATCTCTCGCAATCCTGTAACAATCCACCGAGCACCGGCTGATTCCATTGCTCCATCTCCGCGGTGGACGTACTCCCTCTCATGGTCACGTTCCGTTCCATGGATGCCGTTCCAGCATTATTCTTGACCATCAGCCATCGTCCCTCACAGCAACATGCCCAACCCAACCCTTACTTTTTGACAGTTTGAATTATGTAATTAACCTGTGTATGTTCTATAACCCATGTGATCCTCTTTCATCGCCTTGAGACATTAGTGAAAGGCGCCTAACAAATAAATATCGATTATCATCATACCTTAGGAATACGTGAGGGATTTGTTTTTGGCATTGGCATCATGTAATGAAACGGAGACTCCTATTGAAACTCACATTCACGGAGGAGTTTCACAGCAGTGAACGTGAGGGATGGTCTGCAGAAGCAGACATCACAGAACCATTGCTGAGATAATTTCAGGTAAATCTATCATCCACACCTGAATTTCGAGAGCGTGATTATCATCACTAATTGTCAGATATGGAATTTAGCCAAATTAAGAGCAAGTACAAATGTCATCAGTTTTTGTGTTGTTGTGTGTGCTGCCAATGCTGACTGGGTGAAGATCACCGTCTCATTTCACGTGAGAACCCGGTTTTAATCACAGGTGGCTGTCAGGATAAAAATCCAGGAATCAACTTTGTGAAAGCGAATAGAAGTTGCTTTTTGAAAACAGTGGATGCTTCTTTGGCTTTTTTTACGTTTACAAACAATAACATTATTTTAACCAAAAAAGCCTCACTAATTCTCCAATTGATTTCCAGAAGGAATTGCCCTGCACAACTGCCAATTCGTTTTCAATAAGTGCTGGTTACGTGAAACTACTTTCGGAATTTGCAACCAATGTCAGAAGTCTCAAAAAAATCCACCAACGTTTGCTTCCAACGTGCTGGATGATAGGCGTGCACCAAAATGCCGTGCTTAAATAGTGCACGGCACATACATTTCTTCCCAGCAAATTAAAATCCCAAAATCTAAAACACACTTCCTGATCAATTTGTATAGCCAAAATGCGTGCTTATATAAGCGCAACCCTTCGCAGTGCCTTCCTTTCACGTTCGCTTAGCGTGGAAATTGAAAGAGAGAGAGAAAAAAAACCTGTTCATGTGCAATATCACAAAGTCACAGTGTCTAAATTAGGCTGCGACACTTGCAGGCCGCTGTGATTAATTAGGGTGGCACAGCAGGCTCACATCTGACACGTTCACCTCCTGAAAACCCCAATCACAGTCCTGCTCCTTGTGCTTAATTAACGTACAGTAAGCTCAACAAAATGTTCTGTGGATGGCATTACAAATGCCACCTCGAAGATGAGTGCAGGTGATTTAGGGGGCTACGTCTCATGTCGATCCTGGTTATGAGGCCTTGTTCAGCCACCTGAGCACGAACATGTTATTCTGTACAGCGAGTGTAATTGCCTAGATCAAGGTTACAACAAAATGCAACAAAAAGACAAGCAGAGCTACGTCTCCCTGCTCAAATAAGCAATGGGTGGCTTTTTTTTGGTGGTCCTGAGGCGGTATTCAAAATGCAACAGGCCCAATCTCCCTTCAGGAAGACCACTATTGACTTCCCACAAAATGATATTCAATCTACCGATTACGGAAAGATAATTGACTTATTTTGTCCTCAAACCTGGATTTCAAATCATGACGTTCTGATTGTCAGGCCTGATTCACGCAGCATTTTAGATTAACTTTGAGTGAATACCCCGCGCCTTGCGAGACATAAACCACGTTCACGTTTCTACAGCAATGGTTCTGAATGTGAGTCATGTGGTGCGTCTCGGTCTCGTGTGTGTTCTCAAGTTTGGGCCTAGTTTACATATAAGCTAGGCCCAAACACTTTATTCAGACAAAACCAAACACTGTACAAAACCTTCCTCAAAATCATATAACAACATTTTATCAATAATCATCATCATCAGCCAAGGTCAATCCACTGCTGGATGAAGCCCCACTCCAAACCGATGCCAATTATAACAACTCTCGCGATTTTTTTCATTAACTTCACTTGCAAAAAATGGTGCTATAAGGCCCCTAACAAAACTTTAAATTACCTCTAAATATGACATCAAAACCAACCTAAAAATGCGAATCGCTCGCCTCGTGCCCTTTATATTGTTGCCTTGCGTCGCGATACAGCCGTGGAAATGCCATCCCATTCTTCTGGTCATCTCTCGGTCACTTCCAGCTTGCTAAATGTCGCCAATGACGTGTGAATTAAAAAAAAACGTTGTTGAGCTCCTCCCGCTTGGCATCACTCCGACCCTGCTTGGGCTGCCACTTCACGTAGCGATTTTTTTTGCCAAAGTTCACTCTTGGCAGCTTCGCGGAACATTCACATTCCACGCCCTGACGTCACTTCATTGAGGCTGGAGGAGCCCGTTTGATTTAACGATGCGCACTGAGAGGTATTGTGTGAGGCCAGCGGAAGTCAAGTGCTTCTGAACTACGACGATATTTCTCAAGGTGGGTGGCCTGGATTTCCACAGTGGTCGTCGGATCGTAGAATTTCCATCATCGACTCTAAATTTAAATTTAAAAAATATTTTACCAGGTAAGGCCCACTGATCTACATATACAACTCGTTTTCAGAAGCGACCTGGCCACAATTGATAGCCCAATTAAGTAGCTTATCAGCACGTGGCAATTTACTGCAACCAAATACTCTAAACGCATGTTTCTAAATGTGGAGGGGGAAAAATTATCCCGTAAAAACAAAGTTTTTCACTCTAAATCCTTTATATGCGTGGCGGCTAGAGTCCTCTCGTCCTCTGGCTTGAGATGGCTGCCACCTATGGGTCAGATGGTTGTCTGCCAGCATTAAGCAATTGGTAATTAAATATTTTTAAAAAATTCCCTAAACAGTGTAAAATTTTGGAATAAAATTTCACGAAGATTAATTGTCACGCACAACGAGTCTGTGTGGAAAATGTCAGCTCGATTGGATCACGGGAAGTGGGTAAAAAAACGACCGAAAGATTTGCACGGTCGTAAGCAAGCAAGCAAGCACGCAAGCACGCAAGCAAGCAAGCGAACTTAATATAAAGGATTTAAAAACGGAGGAACCGGAGAAAAATCCACATGACCACGTGGAGAGACACGTGCAAGCTTCAAATACACGGGCGTCAGGGTTGGGATCGAACCCATGACCTCCTGTATACCACGTGAAGTAGTTAACATCTCGCCACCGCGAAGCAAGGCTGCCAGCTGTGGTGAGCACAGCCATAATGCTCGTTTGAGCAGGAAGACAATTTGATACCACTTCATTTTATTCGAGGGGGAAGAAAAAAACTGCAGGCAGTGCAAGAAATTCCCCCCTGGTGGGGATTAGGCCGACGCTTTTCATGCCAGCACAGACATCTCGGAAGAAGTGGGAGCACCAAATACGTTCAATAACGTGGATGGACACATTTGTGAAAAGCTGAGGCATGAACGACCGTACGAGGTGTTCCTGGAGCTGTGATTGAGAGCTCACCTCTGACTTGCCCTTGCTGAAGCATGAACCTTTGGTGGTCTCTGTGCAGCTCCACTCAGTAGCCTGGGAAATGGATAAGTAGAAGCATTATTATTCTTGGTTCTTTCGGTAAATTCACGTAGAAGGTAAGTAATAAAATTATACAAATAAAACATAATAAAATAATTGTTATCACGCCCAGGATCTCACACTCACGCACGCATGCATACACACACACAAACGATTCCATGTATAACCTTGTGAACGGCTGGGGCAAACGCTGTTAGCGAGCACCTATTAAGGGCAGCATCACACACAAGGGGGCGGTGTGGTCAATACTAAGCCCAACTGCATTTGTTTCCAGAGTGTTTATGTTTACACACTACATCAGGAACTCGTTTAAGGCGAAGTGAACGCAGCGGAGACCCAGGACGAACTTTGATATCACTCGCTGCTGGTCTTAGTCAAGACTGAGTATCGAACTCTAGATTTGCAGTGCGGTGCATGGCCCATTGTACCATCACTATTAAGAAAGACTGAGATCCCCCGTATAGCCTTAACATACTGTTTGGGAACGTGCTTTTAGCGAGCACCTATTAAGGCCAGCACGGCACACGAGGGGGTGGATAGCCAGCACCATGCCCGGCCGCCTTTGACTCCCGAGTTGTGATGTTTACACACTGCACCAGGTACTCATTTGAGGCTGAGTCGACCTAGGGGAGGCCCACGTCCGGTTCAGATAATCGTCACTGGTGGTGGCCACACAAACACTCACGGCACACACAATGCAGGTGCTCACTACCAGGAAGTTGACGATTCGACTGAATATCCTTCATTTCCACAATTTGGTGAGATCCCCATTTGGTCCGCTTCACTTTTCAAACGTGCATCTCAAAGTCCAATTCAAACGCTGCATTAAGCTCAATTTGGCAGAGCAAGGCATTATCCACAGCGGTACGAGCAGCAGGGGTCATCAAGTAGCAGTGTCTTCATGCTGCCAAATATGTTGCTTGTGAAATGGAAAGAGTTTAAAATGTAACTTAAATGACTCAAGACTAAAAGATTCTTCAAATTGCACGAGCATGGGCCATATTTGAGACGGCAATATTGCCAATGCGCTGTAATTATGGGGAAAGTCAGATGTAATGGAAATGTTGGCGTTCGTAAAACGTTACAGGCAGAATGTGGAAATATCCGTCTGGATAGTGCGGTGGCAGAGTAGGGTTGGACTCATCACATCATCCTTTTAAGAAGTTATAAAATGGGTACCACTCTGCGGGGATCTTCAACAGTGGCTGTCTAACGCCTGGACTGGCCCCTGCCATATGAACGTGGAATTTTCACCACTGGCTCAAGGCCATCGGCAGAAACGAGCACCATCTCACGCTTGAGGGGAGATGCACTTCGACTTGTGGTGATCCGCACACGTCATGGAATCATTATTTTTTTACAGCCACGTTACAAATTGTACACTTTAAAATGATCACATTGTCACGAGATAAAATGTACATACGTTGTAAACACAATGTACTGTCAACGTTTTCGTTGACTTCAGTTAAAAGGCTGTAGACAAGATAGCATGATGAGTGATGATGATGAAGGTGGAGCGGTGATTTGCGCAATGCACTGTGAAGTGTGAACCCTGTTACTCATGTTTCATTCCCAGCCATCGCAAACATCCGTGGTGAGTGATATCTGAACTGGTCCTTCGCTGCACTGACCAGCGCAGCGAAGTACGGTCAAAACACACCCCCCCGCGCGACTGAGAATGCGCGCGGAAGCCTTCGTCCAACAGTGGGTTCACAATGCGCTGTATAAACATAAACAGTTATTCTTTCAAGAATGACAAAAGCATGCGTACACAGATGGACGGATACATTCATATTGACAGACACAGACCACAAATAACACAGACAGGCGTCAAGCTAATTGCCAAACTGTTAAACGGTGAAGTGCTTTTTACAACAAGAACTAAAAAAACCACCCCACTGATATTAAATCAAGTTGTTCACTGCCATGGCACCGCACCTGTGGACCACGTGGTCACATAAAGAGAAGGTAAAACGCAACCAGCTGAGCCTTGGGGGCTGGCTGCGTGGATATCGCTGCTCACAAACAACAGAGCCCTTTTAACTCTGGCCAGGTTTCGTTGGCGAGTGCGTGGCGGCGTATTGCTTACTGGCATCGCAGCGACATGAAAGGAGCACCTTCATAGCGGCGTCACGCGACGCAGATATGCTGCGCCACCATCCAAGCCGTTATTTATTTATAACACACGGGGATTCTACGGATACGCAGCATTCTGCTGTACCCATTTTGTTTTAAGGCCGGGCAAATGTGTATTTAAAAAAGTATATAATAATGCACAAGTGACCTCTGCTGTAATGTGCGAGGCATGTGAGATTTTAAAATGGATTTCGAATAGGGAAATTTTAATTCAATTAAATGAGTTGAAAATGTACTCAAATAAAGTGGAGGCAATTGCGAAGCAAATGCAGTTTTAGCCTTGGCAAGGAACAAGGTTGAATGAACGTACTCCAGCCAAGTGATTTCACAGAGTGCCATGTGAAGCCGTTCTTCAGAAGTCAAAAGTCAACGCGCTCAAGTGAGCATTCGGGCATCGCCCATCTCCTTTCTGTGACCTCGAGCGAGCCATGGGCGAACATCCACATTCCTATGGAAGGGGGCAGCCTCTCTCTTGAGTACATCGGACAAACCGGTACGCGATTTTATCTCTCCCAGAGAGAGGATGATGTGCTGAGTTGACACTTGCTGGGATTTCACTTGGCAGCGTTCCGAGTCGCGTTCGCTCTGCCACTGGGCCCCCACCTGGTTGAGTGACCTCATAAAGTAAGGAAATACACTCGGTGCACTGTTATTGCGGAGTCATTTACTGCTCCGAGCTCATGCCCGTGGACCACTCACAGCAGGTACGGTGACATACTGTTGATTCCCTTGCTCCATACCAAGGGCCTTGCGTGTCGCACGCAACGGCGGGTTTTTTTCGTGCGAGGGTCACATTACAAAGCACCCCCAGCCCCTTAGGACTCCAATAACAAGAGGGAGGGGTGAGGTAAGGGGGGGGGGGGGTCCTAACCCTAACAAGAAGCAGCAAGTGTAGCCCATCTGGCAAAAGAATGCCCTTCGCAGTACACAGGCAAAGGTCTCCCGTATAGCCTGTTGGGCAAGTGCTGTTCGCTGAGTAGCACCTATGCATGTCGGCACGGCCACACGAGGGTGTGGCGTGGTGGTCACCACCACTCGTGACTATGTTTACACACTGCACCAGGTACTCATTTGAGGCTGAGTCTACCTAGGGGAAGCCCAGAACCGGCTAAGATAATCGTCACTGCTGTTGTCTGTGAGCGAGATTGGAATTCCGGTCACCCGTTACACGACCGCTCCCCAACAAAGACACGCGCAGATATGCCGATGCACACAGGTGAAAAGTATTCAGACATTCGAAATAAAACGAACACGCGTTCCAAAAAAAAGGCCTCGGTTGCATTGTCAGTCATGTGCTCATACGCTTATTTGCTTCACGTCACGATATTCTTTTCTGCAAGCCAAAGAAGCGGGAGGTTAAAACGCTCCCGTCTTGCAGTGACTGGGGCGAGTCGCGGTGTCTGGGTCGTTTGTCATTGTTAAGGGCGGGTGAGGGTTTGTCTCACTCTTCAAGGAGAGGTCAGAGGCCACCGAGATTGCACTCTGCTCTGCTAAGGACACGGAACACTTTTCATGCGCAGGTCCAGGCTGAGCCAATTCCATCCATTCACATACAAATTGGAGCATTGTATTAGGGTCTGAAATAGCTCACACAGCATGGTGTGATGAGTGATTTTAAATCATTCTTACGATGCATATAAATGTGTGTATGTGTGTGTGTTGTTACGTGCGTTCGTATGTGTGTGTGTGTGGAGGGCAGTGGTGCGGTGGTTAGCACAACGCACCACAAACCTTGTGACCTGAGTTTGATTCCTGGCTATGCACAACATCAGTTGCATTTGATATGTGAGACTGTCCTGGGCTACAACTAGGTAAACTCAACTCACTTGATACAGCAAGCGTGCTGTGACGGTTCCACCTTAAGACGGAAGCTTGTGTTGCCTCCGAAACGTCGTGATTTTTATTTTATTTTTATTTCATTTTATTAATTTTTTTTACCTACGTGACTTTACCGAAAAAACCTCAGAATATGAATATCAACCTAATGAATGTGGCGTTGTGTATGAACATCAGCACTGGGGCTGCTGGTTGTGGATCTGACCAAACCTCCCGCGTGTATGGTGCTGGCCTTGATAGACAGACACTAACACCACTTACTTCGTATAGCCTGCAAGGACATACTGGGAAATCGTTGTCTTTCATAAACTGTACAGAAGAGAACGTGGAAACGTTGTTAGAATAGTATATACATTATCTATGTCATTCTGTAATAATTGTATATCTAGCCATGTGCCACTTTGATGAATGAACTCGACTCACAGTGAAAAGGTTAAAAGGTCAATCAAATGAGGACACTGCCCCACGCTTGTTTCAGAAGGGAGATACTTTGACTCGAAATATATCAAGTGGATTCAATTTGCGTGTTTCAATATTTAAAACCACTGCTTGTTATTCTCACAATCTGGGTTGTTAATATTACCACTACCGTAGATTTACTGAGAAAAGCCTCGCAGAGTCAGAATAATCTCACAAACTTTAACGCCTGTGATAGTTTGCCAATTACATCCAGAGTATATAATGTTTAAATGAGTCAACAAAAGTGTTAGCGCTTGAGCTGATGGGTTTTTATCAAGTTAACAAATGAATGCTTATTCGTTTTTTTGTTACTCCGTATGAAAAGCCAACGTAAAAAAGAAAGTCCCTCAACAGTGATGTGTGATGAACCATGGTTAATAATGGGAGGGAGGAGGCCCTGAATATAGGTTCAGCTGCATAGACTTAGCATTAAGTTATTACCTTTGAGGTTTCTGAAACTTTCCCATTTGCATAGACATCACAATGCATCAGTGTCACCATTCACTTTCCTGAACTGAACAAAAAAACCCAGACTTAATCTCCCCGACTGTGCATGAAAGCAA